ACAAAATTATTTAATTTCAATGAATCTTAATAAAGTCTATAATTTTATTTACGATCAATTTCTATTTAAAACTTCTCTATATATATATATAAGTTGCGAAATATTGGATCATATCATTGTATCGACGTCCTTTTGGATCACGTCCGGCATTATTTTCAGCAATTTCGCACAACATTTTCAACACGTATGAATATTCCTCTGGATAGTGTTTGATCGTTTTAGATTGGATGTAACGACAACATTTGCTTCACTGGAAGCGACTTGGTTTCGATTTGCATTGCAATGCAATTTTTTCCGATTTGAACAGGGTCAGTTGATAGAATACAATTTATTAAAAAAAGATAATCACTTTAACACCTTTTAAAAAGGAAATTCAAATAATGAAAAAACGAACCATCACACATTTTTCTTTAATTCTAGAAAGCCAAGCGATTCGATGAAATCCGTTAAAATGATTCGATGTATGATTTTTTTAAATTCACAACTTTCGTTTTACGTTGTCTACTGCGTTTCGTATGAGTTTACTAAGAGTGTCTTTTCTCGTTTGATCCACATGCGGTATGCAACTCAACCGTTCAGCAAAAATCGATACCAAAATTGAATTATTGAATCGCTATTTGGAAGAATTGAAACCATTGGTGCCACCACAAGCGGGTCAACCACCACCACAGCGACGGCGACGACAAACGCCACCACGGCGTGGGCCTCAAAGTGGAAGTGGTTGGTTGTTTGAGACGCACAGCAAATATGACTGATAAATTTAATACATACATATACTTTTAATCACATCGCATATTCAATCATTCATCACTAAACTAAATTTCAATCGATGTTAATCTCTTTCTCCATCATAATCATCATCAAATTTTCTACGACAGGTACAAGTCTCTTGTATGAAACAGGGACTGGTCAAAAAATTCTATGTACCAAAGGTCGGTGGTCGCATGCCTGACACAATGCATTTTGGCGTCGATTTGTAAACTTGGACAAAATCAATAAGCCAAGTCAACAATTTGACTTTTCATTCACCACCGATGGATGTTCAGCCCATTTGAAAATGATTCGGCGATCCACTAATGTCAACAACAACACCAATAATAATAACAACAATGATGATGATGATGGTGATGATGACAATAATGCAGTTCCGAATCCAGAACAACCGGATCCAGTGCCGCCAATCATTCAACGTGCTTATGATTCAGGTCAGATAAAAACAATTATCGGTTGTGATCCGGGCTACAGAGAATTTGTGGGGGTCGTACGCAAAGATTTGGCAACCGATAATGAAGAAAATTTTCTGGAATCATCGAAAGAGTGGCATCATATGACCGGTTTTTTCGACCGCCAATACAAACTCAGGCGATTTACGGGTGCGTTTGAGAAAAAATGTCGTAAACTGCGTGAAAATCGTGAAATCTATGAGGAAACGCCATCGAAGAAAAGTGCCGACTATCGTACCTATCTGGATTACCAGCTGGATGTATTCAATGAATCATGCGAGGTATTCATTTGTTGTATATTTCTCTCTCTCTCTCTCTTGAGTTGAGTTGATTTGATTTGATTTCATGTTATTGATGTGTGTTTCATTCATTCTTAATTTATACAGATAAAGTATCAAAAACGTGTAGTTCGTTTAAAGTTTGATGTATATACACGTACGCAAGTAGCATTGCATGTGTTGGTGAAGCAAATGACAAAAATCGATCGTAGAATGTCGGATGCTGAGAAAACAGTGATATTGGCATTTTTGGTGCAAAATTTGCATCAAACTCACCCATCAAAGGATATCTACGGTGTCCGCATCGTGCATTGCAACAAATGGCACGTGAATATGTATTCGTTTTGCCAATCAACGAACACAATACATCACAGAAGTGTAGTCGACCAGGACGTAAGCTGAAGAAACGAAGAAGTGTGCCAGAACGTCAATCAAAAGACCGGTAAGTTGTTTTCGATTGGCATACCATCGCCAATGAATGACATTATTATTATTATTATTATTATTATTATTATTGATTGTATTTTCTTTTCTCCATTGTTGAACAAACAAAAAAAAATCAGTTTTCTAGTTTGCCCCAACTGTAAACCGGTTGAAGATGGCGTTTTTCACGATCCAATTCAATGGACAGGCAAAGTTCATCGTACTTTCAAAAAGAAACATCGAGAATGGAAATACCGTTCCATCGACCGGTTCCAGAAGCAAATCAAAATCCACAACCAAAACGAAAGAAAAATAAATACGAGAAGCTGGAACCCAAGGAACCGAAAATAACAGTTATATTCAATCGCGACATAAACGCAGCGAGAAATATGATTGTACATGTTGAATCATCTGCCGATGCCAAATTGTTTTCGGCCATTCAGGCATCAACTCCATTATTATTACAACAAATAAAATCAAAAATTAAAAAATATAAGCACGGACGTCTACGCGAACATTCTCATAATGGGAATCTCATTGTTTGAAACAATGATACCAAGACGTAGCAGTGAACGATGCTAACAAGTACTAGAAATAGTACTAGAACCTAAAAATTTTTTTTGGGCAGTGTTGTTATCCAAGACTTCATATATTTTCATAAAAATGTCACATACTTACCTAGAAAAATTCTAATCGACGTGATATACAAATCGAAGAAGTGAAAAGACTGGTCGATTTACAACAAAACGATCAAAAAATTATCGAACAAAGTCGGGAGCGTTTGGAGAAACTCGAAAGTGACCTTAAGGATGCACAGAGAAACGCCGATGAGTTGAAAGCTATCATCGATCAACTGACAAATGCCAGAAATCAATTACGTATCGATTTAGCTGCTTCCACCATTGAACGTGACACGTTCGCCAAACAAACGAGCCGGGCTAAAAATGAAGTGGTGGCACTCCACGGGGAACAGCAAGAACTAAGAACGAACATCGCTGCCCTTGAGATGGAATTGGCGGGTAACATTGCAAATAGTCAGGTGAAAGAGGAGACCATTCGAAACCTGACAAATCAACTCATCGTTGCGAGCGAAGAACATAAACGACTCACCGAGACTGTCAAGAATGTAACCGATGGACGTGTTGCCGCCGAAGCCGAACATGAACGGCTTACTCAGGAAGTTGTTCGTCTCCAGCAAGAGTTGCAAGCTACCCAACAACAGTTGCAAACTGCCAAGATAGATTCAATGATCAATTGGTGTTTACGCTTCAAAATCTTCAGCCGCCGGAGATCGTCGATATTACCGCCAATTACAATCAAATGCAACGTGTTGAACTCTTTACAATGATGCACCGGCCATTGACACATATCGACGAAGGTAATCTGATCGCCACCGTTGACATTCGTGTCAATGACATAATCGGCCTTACCATCGGCGATTTGGTCCAATACAATGTGTGGTTCGACCAAGTTGGGTATACTCGGCAAAATCTGCGGTCAAGATCGACATTTTATGCTGTCATTACACCATTCCTTCACTCAAATACTGGGTAGCCATTCGTGTATTTCCGTTGCAGTGGATTCTCGGTAAACCGGTCATTGTCTCGGCAACCGTTGATGGACGTGGCACAAACAAACAACATCGCAATCAACGCCGAGATAATCGTTATCGTGAATCCATACGAAGAAGATGCACCTGATCTAATATCCCTTGACCGCACCGATGAAGGCGTGGCAGAAGATTACATTCTAATCATGATTGTGAACAGACCAATTCCAGCCGGCCATGTAATAAACATCGGTCCAGGTGCTGATGGACGAGACAATCGCGATGATTAATCGCCCCCGCAACCGCAGCAGTGGAGTTTGACTGACTGACCACAGAAGAGGCTGTTTCTTTTTTTAAATTTATTTTCGGCCTTAGGCCAAACAAGAATAAAACGTTTCAATTTTAAATTAATAAAACGTGTAATTCGAAAACCACCACGGTGGCTCACTTAAACATGTGTTTTTTATTATCCATTATTTTTCAGCTATTTAGGTTGAAGGCAGAATAATAAACCCTTTCCCCTAATTCAAATATGTGTTCAAAAAATAATTTGAAAAAAAAAAAAACATATTCTTTTGGGGTTGTACAATATTTCGAATTTCTCTACTGGAGTAAGTATAAAAAACCCTTTCCCCCAATCATAAAATACGCCAAAAAATTTTTTCACAGATCTCCCCCAAGTCTATTGAAAAATATCTTTTTATTACACATATTTTTATTGGGGTGATAATTTATTTAAACTAGACCCAATACATACCATCGTATTCTTTTGTTTATTTGACTGTACGGTTTTTTTAAAAAAATGTAATGACGCCATATTGAATTTTTCTGATCGACCCCAAAAATTAAATGATATTCGAATGAGTATAAGTGCTTAGTGCCTAATTATTTGTTATTTTTTATGTGACACATCTAATTACCCCATTCATACCTCTAGGCCATTTATTTTGTTTGGAAAAATAAGATACCGTTTTCATTTTCAATCATTTATCAACCATTGTTTTATACAGATCTAGGCCAAAGACATATACTATCGAATGAAAAAATAATTGGAGTTTTTGCATGTAACGAGTCATAATGTATTGGTAATGTGCAGGTGTAACAAGTGTCAAGAAATGATGTTGTTTTTTTTGGCTTTTGTATGAATTACATAAAATTGATAACTAGCAAGTTACATTTTGCACGATATGGATGATTTTTTTCACATCTCCTAAAGTTAGGCAGTTTGTATTGCTTTTAGAAGGTTTTGTGTTGAATATAGTGCAAATAGTGGAAAATATAATAAATAATGTACGTATAACAAATTGGTAATTGATTATTGAGTCAATAATATTGACTGAAATCAATTAACAATTTCAACAAAACAGCAGAAATGAAAGTATAATTTACCTAGATATTTACCATATCATTCTCAATTTTTTTTCCTTTTCCATACAAAAATCGTGATGAAACTTTTGCTTTTGATATGTATTTTGTTCTACATTCGAAATAACAACTTTTGAAAAATGAAAAATTGTCATGTCAAAATTGTTAAGTTACTTAGAATAAATTTTAATTTAAAAACTCAATACTAGTATTTCATTTTTCGATTATAAATTGTTCTCAACAGATCTTCAATGGGGGCCTGATAGATCATGTAAAGCAATAGACTGGCAAATATGGTTAAAATTGTAATTCCCAAGAAAAATGTGATCTAAAATGCGAAGTTAATTTGAAATGTACAAAAATATGAATAAATTGTCCAATTTTTATCTATTAATGTTGCATACCATCAATCCGACCGAAAGATGCATGCTGCTGTCTGAGCTTAAGATGATGATACGTGTAACGATTGGAAAAATCAGTATAAAACTGTTTGTCATTTTATTCAGAGGCAGAAGATACTGTGATGTAAGCAAATGTCCGATTAAACCTTTATGTGTATAATGCCATTTATTTAGTCTTTTGTAATTTATTCGGTGAAAGAGTCACGTTTTGCATACAATACCTCGATGTTTGGATATCGATGCGATAATAATCCATAGTATAATTATACTCCACGTCATATGGACAATCGTTGAGAAAATGGCATTTGTTGTTAACGAAATGAGAGATTTACTAAAAATAAGCGCAATCACCAATAAGAAACACGAAATCCAACCTATAAAATAGACGAAAAATGAACAAATCACCATTTTTATTACACAATTTGTCTTTATATTGAGTATACAAACCGCAAGACATCATTCCAATGCTAATCTCCAGCTTTCTATCGATCTTATGTATAACATATCCAATACAAATGCCAAAAATGTATGGCGAGAGTCGGGTCCATGGTTGAAAAAAAAATCCATTGAAAAATGTTAGGCTCTCTTCGGAAATCAAACTGAAATTATTTAATTTAAATGTAAAGTGTTCGCATCATTTTTGTATGTATCATGTCATTGCTGTAATTCTCAAATTGACGCCGCTTTTACCTGGAGCTAACTTTCATTTCTGGTTCGTGTTGATAAAATCGCAGTGCTGTATTTGCAATCAATGAACTTATCAAGAACGAACTGAAGATAACGATGCCAAAGCGTGGATGATTTTTCAAAATCAATAGAATGATGCAAGCAACAATGAAACAATGAACTTCTATTGATAAAATCCATGACCAAACCATACACTAATTTCCAATGAAAATAAAAATTCACAAAATTACTCGTATCGAAATGAAAATGTTCACAAAACAGAAAATCGGAACTCACTCGTTCTTTCAGTGGATAAAATTGATCAATGTAGATGATATTGCGCCACATACTAGCCTCACATGTGTGATGATCCATCGACGGTATTTCGATCACTCCGTAGTCGTGGAAATATTTCATACACATTTGCAATAGGAGTAATGACGCAATGTACGGAAATGTCATGCTGAACACTTTATACGCGATCATCGAAACAATATGAAGCAACGTATCGAAACAGGAAGAGATCGCCTCGACATCAATGTTTTTCATTCGATTGAAGAACATGTGGGCAACACAAACTCCGCTAAAAAAATGAACGAATAAACATCAAACGGAATATATAAAGGTATTGCATTCTTACCACAGAAAAAAATGCGTATCTACTGCAAGAGAACCACTGCTCAAAATTCCTTGCACCAAATTTGATCCGTCCAAGCGAAATTTATACATTTTGTTATCTGTGTACAATCAGTTTGTAGGCAAAATATGAAATTACAGCAAAATATATATGAGATAAAGATATGCATACCAGAAATATAATACAAAACGATGCACACATGGTACAATAGCAGCCACAGTAGACATAGAACACGAAGGCCAGAGATTTCAATCACCTCACTGATGCAAAATTTTGGTTTATCACTAAATAAGAGCTCAAAATTTCGTCGCCATGAAAACGCCAATAGTATTCGTCGCAAAACATTGCCATTGGGATTGTTCATTTCAACGTTCACTGATCCCATATCGGATGAAACTGCAATTAAAATTGTACGAATCGTTCTTTTCGCAGAGTGCACAAAATGAATTTTATAACTTACACTTTGTACATTTTGCCGATATAAAATCCATACTCAGCGATGACAAATTTTCCATTTTTAGTTCCTTAATTCGAAGCAAATTAACACTTCGCAATGAGTCACCCATTTGGGTTGAATTCAGCTTAGTTTTTTTACTTTCACAATTTGATGTGTTCCGTGTGCAATTAGCTAGATTGTTCAACCGATTGGTCAATTGCGTTGAATTTTTTCTAAAGCAAATAAAAAAATGACATTGTATTTAAACTGAAATTGTACTTGCCAACACTCAAGTAATAATAATGATGGTAGTACTTCAATGTTTCTTGTTGTTGAAATTGTATAAGATTCATTTTTACGTCGAAATTGATGAGATGTTCCAAAATGGTGCCAAACAGGCCAAAAATAAGAAATATTGATGTTAGACCACTGGCAAAGTAAAAGAAAAACATAAGAATGCAAAATTCATTTAAATTCAGTCAAAATATTACAATTTCCGAATACTCACATAAAGATATAAAATGCAAAATCTGTGTAGTATGTATATGATTCTTTTAAAATTCGTACGTCTAAAAGTTCTGTATTTTTCATGACAAGATTATTTCTCAAATGTGAAACATTCGCATAAGACATAACTTGTAACAAATCATTGTGATTGCATGACTTTGGCATACACGCTGTTTGATGGATGATAAACGTGTGAAATGGCGAACTTTCAATGACGCTTTTGTAGCGTGCATTCACCAATTGCACACGAAATGGCAAATAAACCGATGGAATCATGTAGCCCTGCACGTTTCCGTAGACCGTTCGATTGGTGCCAGCCAATGGTTGGTAATTGAAAATGTTGATTTCTTCGTTCAGTTCACGACATAATTGCGGATCCGTACGTCGAATAATATTTCCTGACATAATCCCACCGGAATAAAAAGAGCTTGCATCGTACACTATAAAATGACAAACAGATAACACATTCAATTTTATATCGCTACAAATTAAATACTTTCATTGTTTCATTTGCGGATAGATCAATTTGCACATGTTTTGTGCATATGATATAATTGGTCCGAAAGCATCGATGCTTGAAATAGCGATGAACACATGTTTTTCCACTCGCCATTAGCGAAGGCAATCGAATCGATCAGCCGAATGCAGTGAAGGCTGAAGGTGCAGTGATCATAACAATAACGTATGCGCATGGCGCTTCTACCACTTCTTGAATAAATCGCTCAGAAAAACCAAAACAAAAACAAATGAAAACCGCACATCAATATCAACATTCGAAATCTTTGGCATTCACCACCAAACACTTAAATTTAAGCATTTCATATAAAATGCGTTGTGCGCGCTATTTCTCCTTCAATTATCGACTTAATTTGTTGTAGATAAACGCAGTTTACAAGCCTATAACCATAACTTAGCCAAGTTTGGTTTTTGGATGCTCTGAATTTTTGTTTATTATTTATGGATCACAATTACTTTGGCAATTTCAAACAAATTTCTCCGCATAAATTATACACAAATTACATATGTTTTTTTTATCTTTTCTTTCATTTTTCATTTCACTTATGTACTAACGAGCCTGTGTAGAGAAATAAAAAAATGATTGGTCATTTGATCATATTTCTCGAATCTGTTTTATAATCATTTGAACGATTCCAACGGAACCGAATGGAATTTTTACTGAATACTATAGAAAGTTGGTTCAATCCAAGCTGAAGGTGAAATTCTTTAATTGCCGCAATCGAAGGTGTGGTGGCTGGATGATATTCAATGCTTTTTTTTGACTATGTTTATTTTACTTTCAATATGATGATTCAATCAGTTTTCCAAATAAATTCAAAACAATTTAGGTAAGAAAAAAATACATACATTTTACCGCCCACAGCACGTCTTTATGCAAACCGTCCAAGTATAGGAACATATCCTTTATACATTTTTCGCTAATATTCCAACCTGAAAAAAGTGAAAACGTGAACCAAACCTTTATAGATGAAATCATCTGTCGTCACCAAATTCATACCAACATCGTTGAATTCAAAGAATCGCACCATCGAAAGTGGCCCGAATGTTTCGAATATCACATTTAAATTTGAGATTACGGTTGCAGACACTCGTGATATGACGAACGCCAAAGTGATTGCAATAGTCCAAAATTTCTTTTTGAATATCATATTGTTTGGAGTAACTTTTTCTTTTCTTTTCTCACTCAAATTGTTTAGTTTTGTTCATAAAAAACAATTTTTTTTGTGCACCAAATTTAAAGATCTTTTGAAATTCTAAAAACTCTTTCTCAATCGATTAAAAGACTTGTCACGATGGCTTAATTGGTGCGTTGTTTCATAAAACCGTCACATTTTTGCAATCGTTTTGTTTGGGTTTTTTCTGGTGCCACGATCACTTCACAAAATCAACTGATCACTTCAACGGTAGATGCAGATCTGCCCGTTGAGAAGAAATAAAAATCAAAGCAAATTCGAAGAATATCGAAAGTAAACAGAGAATGAAAATTGAAATTGAATCGTATTGCATGCGTTCGCTTGTTTGATCGAACGGGAGAATGTGCGAAAGATATAATGGAAGAACAAAATGTGTACCAAACAATGCAGAGAAAGAAGTGATTGAAATGTGTTTTTTTTCTCTTTATTTTGTCGGTATGGGCTAAATTGAGCGTGGATGGTGCACGCGTTGTACATGACAATGCAAGTGAAACAGAAAACATTTGGTATGTTATAAAGCTGCGCATGTTGTTGTTGTTGCAGACGACGAAAAAATGAGCGAGAAAGAATTTAAAGCAAAAGCGAAAAAAACACAACACATAACGTAACATAGCAATTTCTCATTTACTGTTTCCATTTACGATGCGTATCAAATCGTTTAGCCCGTTTGGGTGCGTGTATATGTTCGGCACCAAATTATAGTATAGTACCACGTGCTGTGTGAATTTATCGCGTTATGGAGAGAAAAACATCAACACCAACAAAGCATAGAAAGCATATCAAAGAAGGAAAATACCAACGAACCAATACGGTATGCACAGAATGCACCATCGAACCTCTCGTACCAATAAATTTTTCTCTGAAAACGTTTTTTTCTTTCTTCGATAATTGTTTTTACTGTCGTTTAATGATTCATTTTTTTATTGTTTTATTATTTGCCAGTTAAGCAAAGGTCTTCGAACGGAATTTGTATCCGTATAACATTTTTTTTTCATTGTGTTGTGGAAATATAATTTTGATTGCCATGCAGAACCGTTTAATTGAAATTTCAATCTCAATTTCGAAGTTTGTTGCATAAGTGAAAATTGTATCATTCCCATTTGTATCACAGTTCATTAATTTTTTTCCGCTTCAGTTCATAACAACGCCAGTAACTGAACATATGTATATGTCCACAGTTTCAAATCTTAAATGTGTTTTTCAACAAATTATCGCAAAAATTTGAGGCTGATCAAATTAGAGTAATCTGCAAATTAAAAATTCTTGTTGATAATCGTTCTTATCAATTGGAGCACGGCGTTTTCATCAGGGGGTCAAATTGATTTTGGTCTTGGAGGGGGGAGGGGGGTTTTTATATGAAAAAATTGAAATATTGAAAAATGGAAAATCGAGCCGAAATTTTCCAACTTTGACACAAAATCAGTTTATTTTTTGCTATTTTTTTATACAATTATATGGGAAAACAGATCAAAATTCTTTCAGCGGAGGGTCAAGTCGTTAAATTTCTCAAAAAAAATCCCGTTAGAAGATTTGGAGAAATCCTCAGGAGGGAATCAAACTGGACGTGTGTTCAAATATAAATGGTTTAGGTTTAATACTCTTTTCTCTAAAAATTTTACACAATTTTGGACATTTCAAATCGTTACTTACTTTTGGTAGTACCAGAACGCATTTCTATAATTTTTATCAAAAATCAAAAGACCTTTGATTCAATTATCAAAATTTAAATGTCAATATATTTATAATATTTGAAAAAAAAAATATTCGTTTTTGAATGATGTAGAAAGTGCATACAAAAGGAAAGGTATGCAAGAAAAAAAAAACAAGTACCAAGTACTTCACAATAATTTCTTTTCCTTGTCGTAGGAGCCAGACTTATTGCAAATCTGCAACATATTAAACCAATGAAAGAAGATTACGAGGAGCCCGAAGACAATCATATCTATTGAAAATATCGAGAGGAGAGTATGTTTTTATTCAGACATTACTCAACTATAAGCGCTGAATAACATACTCTCTTCTTGATATATTCAATAGATATGTTCAGTGAAGAAACGAGAAACTATTTCCACAATATAGCTGCAAATATTGGTACTCGGAATTCAATAAAAATTTTGTAGTTTTATTCAGAAATCACGTTTAAATTTACATTCATTATATTTTTGTGTGATTTGACAGCGATTGGTGCACGCTTTTGCCAAGTCAATGTATAGTTATTATTTTGATTGGTATAAACGGATTCAGTAATAATAAATTAATTTAACAATAGATGTAGTTAAATGTTAAAAGTTGACAAGTTATTATCTATGTATGCCCGAATGTGATGAATAAAGTGCTATCACAATTTAAATATATTTGTTAGTTTTAAATCAATGTATAACATTTCTAGAAGTAAACAAAACGAATTGAATATGAGCACATACAGTTTTAATTCAGTCGATTGCTGTCATTTACATTGTTATCACTTGGATTTATTTTCTACGCACTTCAATAATTCTACAATAAAATAAACTGAACTCATGCTGAATTCAAACGGAATGTCTTATGATTAATCTTATTTACAACGCTGTGTATTTTTCACGTTAGTTATTCTATATAAGATGCTAGACATTTTTTATGCACAATGTGAGAAATATCATTTCATTTTCGCAAGTTGTACAGGTCATTGTTTCCATTTGCTTTTGATGAGATACAATACACAATGTCTTATTGAATTAACATGTTTATTGTTCAATAATTTTTTATGTCTAAAATTTTCATACAACGTAAAAATGGACAAGATTTAAGATTAACTATTTTATTGAAATGAAATATATAAAACGATACGGTGAAAAATAAGAGGTTTTTATCTCTGCAACGATTCATATCTAGATTCATATCATTTTGAAAACAATGAATACTTTTTTCAGTGAATTTTTAAAGACTTTTTTAAATTAAATTTCAGTTTTCTCACGTGTCTGAACGATTCAAAGCTCGAAACTCGTTTGCAATGAGTACGAATTTATCTACCCTAACTAAAACAGAAGTAATTCGAGTTTTTTTTTAAATGAAAATAAAAAATGAGTTGCAGTTTTCTCTTGTTATCACATAATTATCCAAACGAATTCGATTCGAATTACTTCCACCTCAAATTTATGGATCGATTAGAATGTTGTATTTTCATCAATAAACAAATAATATTTTATTTTGTTCATTCAAGTGAGATCAAAAGTGCCCACAACAACAGATCACATTAACGGCAGAACAGAAATAAAGAGAGTTCTAGAAATACTTACCGACACGAACGAAAAAATGGAACTAAATGGGAGGTAATAAATGATTCATATTTTGAATTTTGCGCGTTTGTGTCATGAACCTGAAATATTCATAGTGAGTGAGTGACGAAATCAATCGGAGCGCGCTTTAGCCAAAATACATTTTAAAAAACCTTAGTTTTAAAAAATTCAGACAATATCTTGAATGAACAATCACTTCTATTAAAACAAGAAAAGTGATTCATCATTAAAACAATAACGTCTATTGTTTTAGCTCATTTAGCTGGCTAACGTACTATCAGCTCAACTGACCAGTTAATTCAATATATTGTCTGAAAAAATTCCAAAAATGTCATGCGAAATAAATGATGATACACATTTTTGAAAAAAAAAAAAAAAAAAAAATCTTCAAAGCTGTCAAATTTACAGTCGAAAAGTGTTTGATGAAAAATAAGTCAAAGACTACTTTTTATTTTAAAACTATTTTTTATTCAGTCAAATAAATCTGTTTTTGTTGTGTCCTTGATGGCAATTGAGTGACTAACTCTATTGAGTGACTAACTCTATGGGAATATTCAAAGAAATCATTCTCGTTCTTTAACGTCATCGCTTTGATTATTATCAATGGTAAATTTTTGAAAACCTTTTCCCTTTGGCACTGCAAATTTAATTTCGTGATCGGGACTCGCATTGGCTGCTTTCAATATAAATAATGGTGGAGGGATTGACTGATGTGCGTTTTGTAATGTTGCAATTAAATCATCGACCAAGTCTCCATCTTCTTCTGTGACGATTGAATATGACGTTCCCGGCCGATTTGTACGACTAACACGATTTACATAATCTGATATAGACAGTGGCATATCACAATTCACCACATGTGATATGTTGCCAAAATTGATATTTTTCGCCGCTAAATCTGTTAATATCAAAAACTGAAATGCCTCGCTCTGAAATTCGAACAAAATTGCATTTTGTTGTGTGGTCGATTTTCTGTTATGCAACGATTTACTGTGATAACCTTTTGTCTGTAATATTTTTGCAATTTTATCAGCTTTATTTGGAGTATCGGTGAATATGAGTATTTTTTGTTTGACACTCTCAGACAATATTAAATCGATCACATCAATTAATAGAGCCTCTTTTTGCTTTTCATCGGATAATTTAACAATTTGTTTTATATTTTCAAGGTTTTGTTCAACTTCTGAAGAACCCACATCCAATCGAACATGGTCATCTATGATGAGTTTCTTCAATTCACTTGTCCACATTGAGCTCCAAATGAGCCTTTGGCAATCTGGCCGGATTTGTGATTCAATTTGCAAAATTTCGTCATCTAAACACATATGAAGCATTTTATCTGCCTCGTATAATGCAAAATGCGAACATCTTTCCATACTAATTGATTTTGTACGAAGAATTTCGTACAAATGATATGGCGTGGTTATTAGAAGTTCACCAACATCGATTGGCTTTATATGTGTTTGAGTTTGGTTGATATCGTCACAAACAACTGTACATTTGATCTTTGCATCATTGCAGAAAATATTCGCCAACTGTTGAATTTGCTCAGCCATTTCTTCTGTCAATGTCAAAATCACAGCAACTGGGCCCTCATCTGGTTTTAGACGTGGCTGATACGATATATGAATTATAGCTGACAAAAGCATTGCCAAAGTTTTTCCAGTCCTGAAAAATTATTTGTTATAGTAAAACTTCAATAAAAACCGATGAATTTGTATGTGAAAAAATATTCACCTTGGCTGAGAAGTTGCAATCATATTAGCTCCAGATAACGCCAGCGGAATTGCTTGTGATTGAAATGGTGTAAATTCATGAAAATTGTCATCAAGCTTGGCGACTATTTTTTGCGATAGATCACTGAGTTCAGAAAACTGGAAAATTGGCTTTGGAGCACTATAATGATCTATAGATCCGAGTTTAATATGCATTTTCGATTTAAAATTCGAAATTTCTACTTGAGATCGACTCTGTGTTAGTTCACTGGGCTTGTAAAAATTCTTATTTATTTCAACCAATTTCATGTCATCCCAATTCGGTGTTTCCAAATCGTCCAGGCTGCAGTCATCCGAATCACAATCACTGAGGTCATCTTCATCACTTTCTGCTTCATCGGAGACTGTTGTTACTTGTTTTTTGCTTTCAATATTTTTTCCCATTTTGTGGGGCCGTGTGTGTTCGAGCTTGCCCGTATTTTTATTTAAATAATAATCAGTTTCCCGCATTTGATATTCTCTTTGTTCGTCTTTTTGAAAATCGTTCCACAATTTCTGTTGCCGTTTCAAATGTGTTGCAATAGACGAATTTAATTTATGTGTCACAAATTCATTTTTCGCAGTGACTGTAATTTGCGGTCTATTTTTATTGCGATTATTGGAATTTCTCGAGGCAAATTTACGTATAATTTGACTGCTTACTGTAGCATGTAAACCACTAAACTCATTGAACTTTATGCTAAGAAAGAGAGGTGAACGCTTCGCCAACAACATTTTTTTATTCGGTTTGTTTATGCTTTACTTTACATAAGAAGCGAACCTCACAATGTATTTGTGCAGTAGTATGATTTTAATATCATATGTTTTGTGAGGCACGTGTGAAATGTCAGAATTTAGAGTGAATCAACAGTTGTAAGGTTTTTTGATTCATTGATGAGGAAAAAAACCATTATTACACAAATAAAATTTTACTAAAAATTGAATGAAATTTTATATTTTTTTTATTTCACTTCCACTAAAATATGTTTCTAACATTGAAATAATGCTAATGACTTAATGAATATTATAATATTGTTTGTCAAAGAAAATATTAATATTTCCGTCCAAATCGCTGTCCTGACAATTCCAAAAGTTCAGGAGCTATATCTTGTTTGGCTTCTGAAAGTACAGCTATTAATTTATCGGCTTGATTGTAATTTTCTTGGGTGAACAACGTATAAGCTGTGCCATGCGATTTTGATCGACCAGTGCGTCCAATTCTGTGTACATAGTCTTCGGTTGTGTTTGGATAATCATAGTTTATAACATTTTTGATGTCACTGACATCTAATCCTCTGGCTGCTACATCCGTAGCAATAAGTGTACTGATTCGATTCGATCTGAATGAATCTAAAGTCATTTCTCGTTGGGCTTGCGAACGACCGCCATGAATTGGTTGATTTTTGAATCCACGATTGCTTAATTGATACGACAACTGATCGGCCATTCGTTTGGTTTGAACAAATATGATTGTTTTTTGGTCGCTCCTCTCAAGTTTGGAAACATTCTCAAGAATTTGAAGTAATTCCCGGAATTTATCTCGTTCCTCGCAGACTCTGATGACTTGTTTGATATTATGATTAGCACAAAGTTCTGTTGAACCAACTGTCAATTGAGTGTACTCGTCGCCCAAGAAATCTCTTGCAATATTACGCACTTCACGTGGCCAGGTTGCAGACCACATTACAGTTTGACGATCCGGACGAATTTGTGATACAATTTGACGCATTTGTGGCTAAATTAATTTAGATTACAAATTAATATCATAAATTAAACTTCATTCACAAATTAAAATCACCTCAAAACCCATGTCAAGCATACGATCGGCTTCATCAAGAACAAGGTAAGAACATCGACGCAAATTTACGCAATTCGTTGAAAGTAAATCAATCAAACGTCCGGGTGTTGCAACAACAAATTGAGCGCCCATGCGAAGTTCTGAAAGTTGTTGAGCTTTGGCCGATCCACCGTAAAGTGCTGCATTATTAATATTTGAAGAACGACCAAATTGAGTGGCGACTTTTTGAATCTGTTGTGCCAGTTCCCGGGTGGGTGCCAAAACAAGTGCAATTGGTCCGTCGTTTACTTCTAAAGGTGCTTGATTTAAAATATGAATAATGGCTGGTACAATGTACGCCAGAGTTTTTCCAGATCTTATTGAATAACAAAAAAGAGAAGAATTGGTTTTGAGACACAATTTCAATGGACAATTATTATTTAAATTTCATTGCTTACCCAGTTTGAGCGATTCCAACCATATTTTGGCCTGATAGTGCAATCGGCATTCCTTGGGCTTGAATTGGTGTACAATCTTCGAAATTTTCTCGTTGAATTTCTCTGGCAAGAGCTGGTGGTAGATTTTGCAACTCTTTGAATGTAAAAATGGGTTTTGGTACATCACGAGGAACACTTATTTCGTGTTTTTCACGGAATGCATTGATTTCAGCTTCGGTTCGGTTTGCCGTTATTTCACTCTGTTGGTAGAAATTTTTTTCCAAACTCTCTAACTCATCCAGATTGTAATCAACTGCATTCAAATGCTGGCCAAATGAACTACGTTGACCTCCAAATGATCCACCTCGATCACCAAATCCTCCTTGATTACCGAAAGATCCAGCTCTTTGAACAAACGACCCACCGCGTTGGTTAAATGATCCTTTCTGTCCGCCAAATGATCCTCTTTGACCACCAAACGAATCTCTTCGTCCACCAAACGAATCTCTTCGATCATTAAACGAATCTCTTCGTTGTGGTGTTCTAGTTCTGCCTATTGGTGCATCATCATCGTCATCGTCAATGAATCGTGCATACGTTCGCACCGTATGTGTTATTGCCGGAAAATTGATTTTTGTTCTGCGTATTGTCTCTTGCACTACATTGCTTCTGTGATATACAGAACTCAAATGTCGTAATTTGGTGAGAAACATGGTGTACACAACGATCAAACTGCAAACCAAAATTAAAATAGGATATTTTTTTCAATTTTTACATAATGTGAATATGCCCGACAATTTATAATTCATTACATTGAACTAATCAATGAAACTATACTTGATTCAATCTAAAGACTATTAAAGTTGATTCACTTACCTTTGTGTATAGTTTTGATTTTTTTTTTCTTAGAAAAATCAATTTGGAAGTTCGCAGTCACTCGTAATTGGCATTAAAATGGTGAAATACTTGCCTCGTTTGGAACATGCGTTTTTTCAGTGACAGATATCAACGTGACGTTTTGACTTGACGTCTAGTTGCGGTTATAAGGTTTTTATTTTGATTTGTAGCCCACTTCATCGTAATACTCGTATCATCTTCAAATTCATGATTGAATGAAATATTTTAGATAAACAATAATACATCGTTGCGTTGATTCGATTTATTCATTTTATTTGACTCGTCTCAATTTGTGTATATATATATATATTTATGACAAAAATAACAAGTTTCGATTGTTGTTATCAAAAATTATTTGGTTCTCTTCATCTCTGATATTTGTATTACTAATAAGATATTAATATGCGGCCATTCAAGATTTTTAGTGTAAAAGTTGTGAGGATGAGGTACTGTTCGGATTTTCCAATTCCTCAAAATATTTGCGTGCATTTCGAATGTTAATTAGAGCCGCTTCCGAAGGCATTGTTGGATCCGACATTATAACCATGATATATGTGTTGCTTGTGAATGTATTAATGAATGCGGCAAATTGGCTATTACGAACTTCCATCGAATGAAATTTTGCGCCAAGTTTTGAACACGATAATTTAAATTGCTTGATTATGTTTGACACTTTTTCAAAGCGATGCAAATCACGATGTTGTTTCCGTTGCGAATGTGATATGACCAAAAATGTTGCTCGTTCAAATAATAGCACCTCATCGGCGTCGATTATATTGGCAAAGTATGCAAGCGAATGTTCCAAAGCTTCAACATTTGGAATTAGCATATAAACCTTTGAAGATATAAAAAGAAAACAATGAATTGAATTAGCTTCGGAGAGACCATCGATGAAAATGTCCATTTATTTGACTCTGAACTAGGTACGCGAAACGCGAAGAAGTAAATTTCAAAAGACTCTTTTAATGGATCACTTACAATTTGACTCCATGCCTTGTACAGAGTTTCGTCCCAAATGCTTGTTTTGAAGGCGGTACAATTCAACGGCAACGATAAACGCTTCAAATCTTCTTCACGTTCTTTGAATATGATATCGCGTTGCTCTTCGGCCACTAAATCCATCTTATGCACCAAGCAGAAGATTTTGGCATCGGGAGAGTTCTGTGAATCATAAAAGTTCGTATTAATTGTGTTTATATATCGATTTTGAAAGAATAAATTCACCTTGTATATGGCTTCCAAACATGATTGATAATAATGCATATCATTGTCCAATTCACGACTTTCCACATCAAAAACATAGATCAATACTTCAACATTACGAAATATGTTGTCTTTTTGCGATGCAAAATATTGCTCCATAAAACTCTCTTGGCCCCCACAATCCCATAAGTTTAATACCAAGTTGCCCAAAAATCGAACATGAGAATGTTCAACATCGACTGAAATCCAAAAATAAGTGCACCGTTAATGTTTTTATGTGGCGATTTGCGATTCACTTTGAGAAATATAATTTTAACACTCACTTGTCGCACCCAGTCGCCTGGTATCTCGTGCAATATAGTTGGCAAAAATAATGGAGCGCATGCTGGTCTTACCCGAACCACTTTTACCCATAAGCAACACCTACATTCATCCACAAAATGGAACTTATTGATTTCAACAATTGAACTCGGCATGAATCCAGAAATTTGATTTGAAAACAAAACAAACCTATGAAATTCACACACACCCAATCAATGGTACTTACCTTTTTCTTCATGTTCATATCTAGTTACAGTCCACCAATTAAATTATGTATATATTTCCTTTACTTGAATGATTCTCTTTGTATTTATTTTCGAAATTTATTGTGTTTGACTGTCAAACTACTGTACTAAATGTTTGCCAAAATAATACGTCATAATGAACATATAAATATATGTCTTATCGCGTTGTAAATATAATCAGAAGAATGGAAAAAATTTGGTGATTTATTTTTATGTAAAAACACAGATGTTTGACAGATGACTTTGCTATGGTTTTTTTCTTATATTATTATTGTCACTTTGGATGGCATCATTGTGTGTGTGTGTGTCATGCAAAACTACAAATTTAGATGGCGCTACCGAATACCATTTCAATTCATATAATTCTCATATTGTATTTGGTCATTCGATTTGAATTTTTATTTAATGAATGAACACATATTTAATTTGTTTTCTAATGAAATTAATAAAATTTAATGCAGAAAAAAGAAAATGAGAAAAATAAATATCGAAAGAGTGCATTCATGTGCAAAATTTCGCAGTCATGATTGTTAAACTATTATAAATACGATAACTGCAAATAAGTATTGTTTTGAATAAACTCATTACTTTCTATTTTTTTTAAATGCCTTTATGAAGCCAATAATAATGTGCAAACAAAAATTAAAATCTTCCATTTGCAGGGCACATTTACCGCATTTAATGTAAACCAAATAGTTTTAAATGTCAGCGTTTAGATGGAAATTAATTTTTTTCCCAACAGATGCATATTTAAAATTTCATTTTCGCGACAGCTCTTTGAGTCTTTATCATGTCTATTGTTAAGTTTTGATGAGTCATGCAATTCTTGTGATTAACATATACAAATAGTATGATTTTTGCTTCGATTTCGCAAAATGCTAGCTTTGCCAAGCAAAACAAATATTGTAATGTAAATTAAAATAAATCGCTACAAATATGCGACTTTCTGATTACATAGGGCAATGAGTGTGTGTTATCAAAGGGACATGAGCTTGTAATTACGAAAATTGGAACGAAAGAAACAAACAAACAGCAGTAAAAAAATGAGATCATACTTCTGAGATAGTTGGCAGTTTAATCATATCAGTGCATTAGTCAGGCAAACTGCAAATTGAATTTGTACTTTGAAGATTAAAACTACATGCTGGTGGTAAAATACTAGTCTTAATATAAATTGCACGACATTTTGTGCGTAAGGTTGCGCTTTAGAAAAAAAATCATTCATAACGCATTTATACGCATTAGAATTGCAATTGCTCCAAAAAAAAAACCGTCGAGCAAAATGAAAACTAGTCACTTGCCATGCATTCAATTCAATATGAACAAAAATGCAGTTTTACGAAATGTTTCATGCCATTTTTTACCTCACGTCCATTTTCTCTTTCTACTCTTTGCCCAACCATTTAAATGTTTGCCCGTTTTTTTTTCTATCTATTTCTCTTTGCGCCGCTCCGGTTTCTACTATTTGTAACATTGGAGAATGCTGCAAAGCAATAAAAAAACACCAATGTTTATTCATGCACATGCCGCTGTCCAATTATATATAAATCTGGCTTATCGCTTGTCGTACAAACAGACCACGATGGATGCCAGGCCATATGATGCAAAGTGTACACCGACAACAAGGTAACAAGCTGTGCTAATGCGATTTTGTTTTATCAATCGGTTTACATTCAATTGGCGAAGGCTATACACACAATACTCTTTGTATAGCAGGTTTCCGACTCTCTACAGGTGTGAAAATTTAATTAGAAACGTTTTGAAAATTAGAGAAAAACGATGTACACTTTGCAATGATAATGGCTTGATAAGACGCTGCTGTCGACAGAACTTCGAGTGTATGACTCCGGATGAAGTTTGCATTAGAATTTTGCACTGTTCAAACTCGTACACGTTTCGTGATTAACACGAAAGTTAATGGTTTTTTTGGAATTACGGTTGACGATCAAAACGTGTTGTCCATTCTTTCATTTGTGGATCACTTTTTTTGTTGTCTTTTTTGTCGTCATGTACACATGTATTGACATCGAACTAAATTTATGTACTTAAGCCATTTTGTAATAAACATTTTTCATAGAAAAACAGCGGCAGCAGTAACAAAACAACAAAATTACAATTATGAACGTTCATGCTGAAAATGGGCCACAGAGGTATTTCTTGTCTGAAGCAACGAACATGAGACAGAAAATTGGCAGGGCGTGTGAGCAAGTTTATGTATGTTTTTTTGTTCGTTTTGTTTCTGATATATTCCAAGTGGTATTGCTTTTGTGTAATACTCGGGTGTGTGCGCAGCTATAATGTGAAAGGAGAACATCGACATCATAAAACTTATTATGCACAAGTCAACACAGTATGCGTTACTCAGATTTTAAAATCGTAATTAGAAGTCCATTATGCAATAGATTTTGACCTATTGAAAACTTCTCTAAAATCTATTATAAACAGAGAGAAATGAGTGAAATAAACCGTAAGGACATCGATAAAACTGAGAAAATTACCACTTAAAAAAACAACATATTAAATTGATTTATTGTTTACATAAACGATACGATTTTATCAATCAATTTACATAAAAGAAATACAAATACACATTGAATCAGGTGGCAGATCTTGAAAGTCTGATTATTCAATGCTCAATTGGCTTGATTTATCTGTAAATGTTGTTTGCCTTAAGTTTTGTAAATGTGCCGATGTCTGAATGGAAAACGTCTTATTTCTGAGAGTGTGTAGTTTATCATTTAAATTCAAATGAAGGTGAAACAATGGTGAGAAGATATTTTGTTGGAATCTTAATTGTTGAAAGTTCAAAGCATCGGCAAATCGTATCTCACGATTAGTTTTGTGATATCACACCCAGTCGCGCTAATGTCTACCGATTTATATTGTGCGATTCAGTCATCGTCCAAGATAACGGTAGATGCGCGCAACCATTCACTCGCAAAACAATAAATAAATACGCATGAAAAAAAATTTCTCTTAATTTCATTTATGTCATTGTAGAAACTGGCCAGCGCTGCTGCTGCATTCGAACATCCGCGATACCGTAAAAGAAGATCACACACAAGACAACATGACCGCGAAATCGTTTTGATAAAGAAACATATGAATGAAATGTGCTTGTGATTTGTTTCTCTTTTTTTTCTTGTGCCGCGAAATACGTGCGCGTCTATCGAATGGGTCAAGTGGTTCCATTTTTATTGGTTGCTGTCGATTCATTTCTCTAGCCATTGACTAATAAAAGCGCCATTTTTGTACATAATTTATAAAGCATTTTGTTTATCGTGTAACCTTTGAGAATGTGTTCACATTCTTCATTTCTTCTCTTACTTCATCGAAAATAAAACCGGCTTTTTTGGAAAAATATTCACCTTACACGTAAAAATATAAGATGAAGACAAAACCTCATAATTACGACTGACTGAAGTGTTGTTAACTGCAATGTGTATCTGCATCGTCGCGATACACATTGTGTTGCAATTCTGTTTCGGTTGCTCGGTACAGAAACCAAACGGAGTAAAAAGTGTGCAAAAGAATGTTTTTTTTTTCTTTCGTAGCCTAAGAGATATTTGTTGGAATTTTTTGTTGCACAAGTAACAATGCACACACATATAAAGGCAAAGCTATACACACAGGTGTAATTTAGGACACATACGTGAAGCGCAAACGTAAACCGTGCGTTCTTTGGTACATATTCTTCTGAAATGAAATCACAAATACAAATACCAACACAGAAACTGAAATTTTAGATGTGGATGATGTGTTCCACTGGTGCGTGTGCATGTTATTTGATCACCTTTATAGTTTTGTTGGTTTTTCTGCGCCGCCACAGCAAATGCGTTAAAGATAACAAACACTTCATATATCATTTAACATAACATACACTGGATGCAACATATACGCACATACGTGCTTCTTAGCTCACTTGATCGACGCTGCAATGCAAGTGTTTGTCTTTCTCGTACGGATCACGTCTGTACAATGCACACAACATCGTTTTTTGAACTGATCTCATCGAGTTGCATCTATTCTCGTTTTCTCTGCAATATTATTGTGGCATTATCTCTTTCTTTCGGTGGTTGTTGGTTCTATTTCTACGAATTATTCGACGTACCGCGTTACGTGCTTTGTTGCGTTTACAGAAAACGCTTCGTACCTGTCGATGACTAGTCACCATTCAGCTACTCTTCATTCGAGTTTAAGTTTCATAAGATTTCTACCAGTTTTATTTTCTACTTCATTTTTCTTTTCTTCTTTGCATTTCTTTGGGTGTATCGGTGTGCTAAGCGCTAACACACTCACATCCGTAGACTCGTTATCGTTGTTGTTAGTTACTTTACACGGTGTAAGTGTATTTGTGTTAAGAGGTTCATAAGTCTTATATATTCGACGTGGTCTTTTCATTATTCTTCGGCATTTTTTTTTGTCTTTCACAAGCGCTCCGTACTTTTCGACATTTACATTTTCAGATTCGTTGGTATGTAACATTCTTGAGTTGGCTTGCGACCGATTCGGTTCGTACATTGTATTGCTGACGAAAGTATTTTAAGTGCGATTTTTTTTCTTCGATTTTTCTACATTTCTCTTTAGTGTTGTTATTCAACGTGCAAAAAAAAGTAACAAGAAAAAAAAAATCCGCCAGAATTATTTGGCACAAGCACATTTCAAGTGAAACAAAGAGAGAAAAAAAGAGTTGTTTTTTTTCATCATTCCCCGCTGTAATGATGTGAAAAAGAGAGAATGAATTTGATGAGTTTCAAGTGTGAAGTATAGACGAGAAAAAACGATTTTTATTGCGATTCTTGATCGAACCGCTGAATAAAAGTTATTTAAAAAAGTCTAAACGGAAAAAGTGTATTGCTTTTGAAAATTCGTCATTTCAATGTTGAAACGATCTTTAAAAGCCAAAAAAAAAACCTCACAAGTGATTAATGCTAATTTATGCATTATAAGTTTGTCAAAACGGCGACAACAAGTGAAGCCCGAAACAAAGTGAATTGTTATTTTATCAACAGAGACACATCGATTAACATTGAATTCAAAATAACCATAAAATACCAGTTTCAACGCATGCTATTGGCGATTTATCGGGCTGGTTGACCGTCATCATAACCAAAAATACTTATTAATAAATTCGTCGCTGAAGCAAGTGTGAAAAAAGAAGAAACAAGAAAACAAAAATGATATGTGAATGATACGATACAACGCAAAAAGACTTGTGCTAATATCGTCAATTTAGCACATTTGGAAATCGTATATTGTTTTTGTATGCACTAATCATTTCGATCACCGTAACGGGCATGCAGAAAGATCATTGCAAAATTGTTGAGAGAATGTTTTTTCTGTCGCCATATTGATCAATTGCACACATTTAAATCCAAATCGTACGATCGTTTTGAGTGAACTATAACGAAGGAGAGTAGAAAAAACACACAAACAAAAAAATACACATAGATTCGGGATCAGGGTGTGTTTGACTTTTATATAAACAGGCAAAAACAATCAAAGTGTGTGCGTGTGTATGCTCACTGTTTTCGATTTTTCGGTTGCTTGTAACATGAAGTGATCGGTTTTTTGTTCTATCATCGTCATCACCATCGAGAGTAAAAGACCAAAGTGAACGAACCAACTGACAAGTGAGTTTGTGTTTGGCTGTATATTTACATCGATGTATGCGTGTGCATGATTACCAGCAGCTAAAGACGGAAAATAAATGACTTTACCTTCAACAATGATCTACATGCAGAAGGGAAAAGGTAGACAGACACTGTGAAAATAAAAACGAGAAAGAGAACATTAAAAAAGAATTTGTACGTTGTCCGTTCATACAAATCAAATGTGCTAATAAAACACAAAAACTATTGTCTGTTTCGCATAGTGTAATCGAATTCGATTGTGGTATTGTAGTGTCTTTTTTTCTGTCGTCGTCGTCGTCGATTCGATTGGTGCGTTTGAATGCTCATTGCAAAAAAAGACAACCAACAAGCAAGCAAGCGAGAAGAAGCAAAAGAAATCCAAGAAAAAAAGAACGACCATCTACCGACAATAATAAGTAAGCAGTTAGCAATACACGGTTCTTGTTACAGATTGTATTGAAGCCCATTGCGGTGTGTTGTCGTTTGCTGCCTACACACGTAAGCTCTCTGCCAGGCGGTTAAAACTTGATTCGGTGCTGTTTTTGCTTCAACATTCTTCATTCGTTCCATCGTCGGTTACCACAGATCCGCGTGTATCTGTATGTGTATGTCAATGTGATCGTGTGTGCGTTTGTGTGTCTGTGAGCAATTCTGTACATGCCGTGTAGATCGGTTTTTGGAATATCTTTCTTTTGCAGTCATATACGGCTACAGCACAATACACGGATCGAACGCAAATAAACTCGCAAGCTATATTTTCATCGATTCAAACAATAATAACAACGACCGCAGAGACTTCCTATAGACCAACGAAGCAAGAGTTGAAGACAACTCTTTTCACATAAATATTAGAATGAACCACGTATCAAAAGCCTGAAGAAATAAAAGAAGAAGAAAAAAAAACAATAATAATATAATCAAAAGAGAACCTGAAGTGTATTTGTGCGAGCCATCGAGTATGTGCGCGCACGTAGAGTGATCTGTGTGTAGAACGGATCGAAACAGTGGAAACATTCAAAATAAACGAGATAGAAGACGGAATTTATCTCTCATATTATTATATGCTCGGTATTTTTTCCTCTTCATCCATTTTGCCTGAGAACGTGATTGGAATGCAGTGTTTCGTGTTATATTAATGACGACAACAACAACATTGATACAACGACACACAGCAGAGATATATTGAAATATTTTTTTTCCTTTATATAAAATAAATTTATATAAAACGTTGACGTTGGGTGTGCAACATTGAAATACGCTCATATTTAAAAGTGTGTCTGTGTGTCCAAATCAAGGAGTTAATAACATAATATAATAATTTGTCAATAAATTGTAACGGCTTAAACCGTTTTGAACTGATTTCCGAGAGTTTTTATTCGCGCGTTGCGTTCATTAAAAAAAAAACAATTCAATTGATTTTACAACCCAAACTGATTTTTGCAAACTGGATATTTTTCGAAATTTTCCATCAACAAGGCGCACTAAAGTCTCGAGGTGATAATTTTGCGAACACACTTTCAAAGCAAACCGAAAATTGCCAGAGCAAAAAAAGGTCATCAACTATTACAACGAAAGTATCGTGTATCTGCTGAAAGCATACCACAACGGGATTATACATCGTATATGTGTCAGTGTACATTGTTTTGGATTATAAACTCATTTTGTGTGTGTACATATACATATACGGCAGTAATTTTATGATTGATAAATTCAACAGAGAGAATTTTATCTGCAAAAACCATTAAAAATTACAAAGTCAAAATAATAAACAATAATTTTCTTGTGTTCTCATCATCTGAGTGAAACCGACATAAAATAAAGTTGTTCAAATGAAAATGGGTGAATCGACACCGATTTGTCGTTGCCGAGTTTTATACTTGGGCAGTGCTGTACCACGTCAAAGTAAAGACGGATTGCAAGGAATACAAGAGCCGCTCCGCAGTTTATATCCGTCAGAAGGAGCGGTTGGTGCGCGAGGCATAGATTCATGGTTAAGTGTCTGGTCAAATGGAATTTTATTGGAAAATGTTGATGAAAATCGTAAACAAGTTACACGATTCTTTCCCATTGAATCCCTGCATTATTGTGCGGCCGTTCGTCAAGTATTGATTCCAGAACGTGGCAATGCACCAGAACCAAAATTTTTGCCATTAGATTCACCGTTTGCACGTACACCGCGCGCAGCACATCCGCCAATTTTTGCTGCAATTTTACGTCGTACGACTGGAATTAAAGTTTTAGAATGTCACGTGTTTATTTGTAAACGTGAAGCAGCTGCAAATGCTCTAGTCAGATGTTGCTTTCATGCGTATGCAGATAATAGTTATGCGCGTCAAATCGAAACAAATGGCAGTGTTTATGGAACATTGGGTAAACCGTCGCCATCAAATGGTTTAAATGGCAGCGCCGAATGGAGATCACGCGCTGGGAGTACGATGACATTAAACAGTGTTGGACAACGAATGTTAAATGGCAGCACCAATGGAACGATCACAAATGGCAGCGATGCATACACAGTAAAAAATGGTGAGTACACAATAATCCGCATTGAAAAGCGCGCACAAGCACAACAATTGCCGCATTTTTACCCACATTCACTTAATTCGCCATTTATGTAATTTTCATTCGATTAAATCAATTACAAGAGTTTGATTAGTTTTAATGATTTTGAGCGCAATTATTAAGAAATCCCCCGTCTTTTACTTTGGGCAATATTTTTTTTCATCTTGAATTTTTTGTTTACATTCATGTAAACTGTCCCGATTAAAATCGCAAGAAAAATACTCACATACTTAATCTTTTAAATATATACAATTATAGAAAATGCAGAAAAAAAAACAAAAATATTTCTTCAATTTTTCAGTTTACGCAAGCAGCGCTGATATTGATGTTGTCGATGAAGCTGGATCTATTTATAATGGCGATGAAAACCACAAAGTCTGGTTAGGTGGTTCACAGGATCGTTTAAATGATATTGCCACGGAGAGCCCATACGATCTTTATTCATCGAATGGTATGAATGGAAATTCATCGACGCTCGGCCGCAATGCTCGTGCAAGGCAAATAAGTGCACCGATTCCAACGGTCCCACCGCCGCCCGAATCGAAGAAAGAAAAGAAGCAGAAAAAATCAAAACAATCAAGTAGTCAAAGTCTATCTGGAACACTCCGACCAAAATCAGGTTATACAAATGGTGCTACATTGGTTCGACAACAACAACACCATCAACAACAACAGCAGCATCCACACAATGGTATGGCAATGCATATGCAACAAAATCATGGTATGTATGCACCATTACCGATGCACGCTCAACAATTGCCACCATCGCGATACCATACATTTAGTCATCGTGGCGGTTACGCAAATGGCATTCCACACAGTACATCAGTTCCACATTTACATATGATACAAATGCATCCACCACCAATGCAAATGCCACTCATGTTGCCACAACAATATGCAACGCTTCAACATCCAAGTAAATTAAAATCAAAAAAGAAAAAAGACAAACTAAACATTCCATTGGGCATCCCAGTTCCACCACCAATGTTTTATCCGCCGCCGTCATCAATGATGCATGAACCAATGAACGGCATGAATCGTCCGTTGGCTATGAGCAATCGAAAATTGGCACAATCGGCCGCTGCAGGGCTTGATGATTCGGGAAATTCGGGTGCCGAATCTCCCGGTGATACGGGCACTGGTATCTATCGACGAAAAGGACACATGAACGAACGTGCATTCAGCTATTCAATTCGTCAAGAGCATAGAAGCCGCTCACATGGAAGTTTAGCATCTCTTCAATTTAATAATCCACCTGATGTGAAAAAAGAACGTGAAATTGCTCAAATGGTTGCCGGATTAGATCTAAACGATGACGCAACCATCTATAGACGTTCACATCAACCACAAATGAATGGCGGCACATTCGGCAAACGTAAATAATCGAAATACACACTCATGCTCTAAGCAAATGATTAACGGTGTTGAAGGCGATTCAAATTGCAAACCTATAGTTGCCAATCAACTTTTCGTTGCATTTGGCTTTTTTTTCTAATGCTATTGTGTCTGTGTGTTTGTTTCGAAATATTGTGTTCGGTACAAGTGCTTTGATAGACACCTCTTTCGAGATCAATTTACATTGAATAATGCGTTTTTATGTAAATAACGAACGGTGAATTTTTCTTCGATTAAATAATAAGTTTCGCTCTTTTATAATTTGAATTGTTTTGCTTTTTTCTCTTTAGTTAAACTTTTTTTTTTTCTAAATTCGCGCATCTATTTGTTTGTAAAGAATGGAAATAACATTTTTTTTTTCTAAATTCAAATTAATATTCCAAATTGGCTCGACAGCAATTACGGAAATGAGAATTATTATGCATAATTAACGTTATAATTGTCAACAATAAGAAATCATAATAAAATGAACGGTGAAATTTACACGATTGTAAACGAACGAAACAAAAAAATAATAAAAAAAAGCAAAACAAAAAAGATGAGCCGATGCGATAAGTGAATTAATAAATTTGTATATTTTAAGATAATGAATTGTTTTCTATATATGTGTGTGCGCGCGGTGAGAATAATATGAATCAAGAAAACAAATTGCATAAAAAGCGAAATTGAAACGAATTCATGGGCAAAATGTGTGTGAAGCATTCGAAACAAATTTTAAAGAATTCGACCGGAGAAGAAAATGTAACAGCAGTAATGGCAAGTCATATGAATTCAGGCAGCTCCAAAAACAAAGCCGGATGAGAATTTCAATGCAACACTGAAATGGAAACTATATTTATACCATACGACGCATAAATAAATAGCTATGCCATTTTTTTCTTTTATTTCATTCAGCGGTGGTTTTGCTTGAATTTAAATTATTCATTACGTCGTACAATTTTTCTTTCCTCTTGTTTTTATATTTTGCCTTTGATTCAATGAAAAGAATTTCAAGTACATATCATATATGCAACTTCATTGAACACGAAAGCACCGAAAGCGACGCTAAAACACATGAATAATGAAGCAAATTCGAAAAACTCACAACCATGTGTGCGATTGCGTTTGTGGCGATTGAGCTTACCAAAGCAGTTTTGGTCTTTTGTGCGGAAATATAGGCAGACAAAACATTGTACGAACGCCGAATCGTAAAATAAACATAATATTTGGATTCAAGACAAAAGCACAACAGTTAAATGAAAATAAATAAAATGGAAGAAAAGAAATTATACATGTATTCAGACAGACACTCACACACACACAAAAACCAAACGAGAAAAAACCGCTGTGTGAACCATGTAAACGAAATAGACAAACAACAACAACAACAATAAAAAAAGAAGTCGTCGATTTCTTTTCAGCGTGCATTGACTACGTCAAAAATGACACATTGTAAATTGTACGCGGCGGAAAATAGATAGAAATTTTTGCACATACGGTAACCGTGTTTTTGCGCAATGCACTGACAAACAGAAAAACAAGACGAAATAGAGAAGAAAAAAAATCAGCAAGTCAGATCACTTTAAATAAAATAAATATATACGCGATTTGATTAAAGCGACAATAATCAAGCAAGTACTTGTGTGATTTGTAATTGCAGCATAACAACGAATCGTTAATTTATTATGCAATTTCATTGGAGCTTTTTTTTTCTTTTTCCCGTGCGCTGCGTGTACGTGTTCCCTTCTCTCGTTCTCTCGTTTCTTCAACTCAAGCGAAGTGAAAAAAGTGATTTTTCAAAACATTGGCCATTCACAATTTATCACAAATTGTCTGAATTTGTGCAGTGATTTTGCGCGCGCGTTCATAAATGTTGTGCAAATGCGAAAAAAGACTTTCTTACAACATCGTCTATATGGACTGAGACCGAAAAGTATGCAGCAGCATAGTAATGTAAAAATCCAAATCAAAATCGACACTTTCATATCTAACTAATTATGCGCATCAATGGACATTCGATGTGCACACCATGATACAGTCTCGTATGCAGTTTACGTACATTGATATGCTGCCAATTAAAGCATAGCCCGTTTGCGCACGCGCTCTGGCCAATGTCCCTTAACAAATAAATACACACAGTTTACGTTTTCACAACATTTTTTTTGAGCGACTTTGGTTCACATTGTCAATTATCATTTTTATTGAGTGGTCATCGTCATTTAAAGGCATATTGTAATACTACAAATCAATTTGTAGCGAACCATGTGTGAATCGGTGTGATTGGATGTGTAATGAAATGCTAAATGCTTCGTTAAAATATTTTGAAAGCGCACGCATTTCCTGCCATTCAACAGGAAATATAAACACCATTGCCATCGAATTCAAAATCCGGCTTGATATTTAAAATTAGCCCAATTCCATACACTTTCCGCATAATATCTAATTGACTGTACAATGTACGTATCGATCGCCTCTATCATTGAGTTCGGCTTCACTTTTCGCTGCATTCCAATTTTTTCTTGCTCCCGTTATGCGTTTTGCAAAACCATGAAATATCGCAACACACATTCATTTTGTATAGTTTTATAAATATAAAAAGTAAAATATATTTAATGGCATTAATGGAATTTTAAAAGGAAATTATCGCAACAAACATTTTTTTTTTAATTTGTTTATAAATAACTGTTGGAATATAAATACGTTGGTCATTCAACAAATCATTTCTTTAATATGTGCCTTACTAAAAACTAGACGAAACCGAAAATTCTTCGAAGCAAATCCGCGTTGAGTTCATTTTAATTAGGTTTTTTTTTAATTATGATTTAATACCTGCAGAATACATATATTATTATATAAAAATTGTTTAAAAACTTACTTAGAAATCCTAAGTTAGGATATTGGAGTTGGAGTATGTTTTGATTGCATCGACTCCAATATGGTAAATGATACTTTTTTAAAATACTCTAAACTGAAAAATCAAATCGAATAGTCGAATGAGAATGATTAATCGCACTAAAATGCCAAAAAAGGCCCTCCAAACTGATGAGAAGAAATGAAAGCGAAAATCAAATAGAAAATATACCAATTTTTATTAAACGTCTTAAATTGTAACGGACTTTCTTCATTATATCAATAGTAATAGTGTTTTGTATAGTATTGTTTTTTCTTTCTTTCTTTCTTTTGTTATGAAAATCTTTTTACAATGTGAAATGGAACCATTTTATATACTTCTTATCTTCTAAAACAATTTATCTTGTATGTTAAAGAAGAAAAAAAAACACAGAAAAAAAAAAAGAAAACCGAGCCAGACACTGTAGTCAACGGCGACAGCAGCATATACGAAAAATCTATCTAATTTTATGTATTTTAATTTGTGTATTCGTGAGGTCGCTTTATCTATGTTATGTGAGGAATTTGAAAAACGCGTCTACGTTTTTCGTTGTCGTCGGAATTTTTTTTCCACTTCAACTTATTCATTCGTCCATTTGGTTGGGTGAAAGCAAATTATGCATATGAATGTGAAAATGAATGCAAATTTAACGATACATAGATTGATAAATATATATACCGAACGAATAAAGAGAATATAGTGTTGACGACAGAATTATAACGATTTATTGGAAACGAAATGAGCAATGCCGTATGTGTGTAAAAGAATGTTTCTCTTTTGTTTTCAATGAACATTTAACACATTGTTAACACACATACACTTAAGCAATCTATAAATAATATATTGAACTATGTAAACATTAGCAAGTATGTAGATTTCTATTGTCTATCGATTGAGATCAAAATCTTTTGTTGAAGAAATAAATTGCTATTATTATTTTTTATATCGAAAAATCAACCAAATGAATCTGTTCATAAATTTATCGTTTATTTGAAATGCATAAATTTAGGTATTTTAGTTGAGCCGATCTGTGTCAGAAAGTCTGATGAATTTAAACGGTAAGTGTGTAGGCAAAAGGCAACAAGTGATTGAATAAGAAACAAGTTAGTCTGGCATTAAACAGTGTGAGCCAATCTCTATGAATTCTATGAATGCGAGAAAATTTTTGTTTGCCGAAACTGACCTCATCCACTCACAGTCGATCTCTTGATGAAATAAAAAGAAAAACAATTATTCGAACCGATTTGTACATTCCATGAATATTTAACTTGCACTGCACAACATGAGAAAGACCAAAAGAAGAAGGTAAGAGAAATAATTGAGGTCGTTAAGCACTCCGCATATGTAAAAAATACTCATCAAATAGCAATGTAATCATTTCATATTTTCATTTTGTCGTACGAAAATATGAATATTCGAGAATGAATGTCAGAGTTGGGCTTTCTCGCAATGCATGCAAAGGGACAATATAAATTTTCCTATTTCATAATCTTGGTCGAATTGATCTTGATTGATCTTAGATGTTTTTTTTGTGCATTTTTCATCACTAAAGTCGAAATCAAATTTTTGTTACGGAATTAGAAATTTGCATATGTTGAAAATAGAAGACTCACATTCATTCTCAGCTATTCATATCTCTATTTGAATGTAAATTGCACATACTGTTTTATTTCGTATATTTGATATTTCTCTAATTTTACTGTACGATGTGTGCGATTGAGCGTGTGCACGCAAATCGATATTAAGCACGCACAGGTATTTGTAGCACGAACAAAATGATGATGAAGAAAAAAAACGATTGTCACACCCAAAACCGTTATTCAAAGAGCCGATAGGAAAATATTTCAAATAAACTAGAAAATAAAAATTATTCACCACTCAATGTGTACTACATACGATTTGCTTATGATGTGAGTATGAGTAGTGCTATGGCACTCAACTGGTAACCGCATTCATAGAATCTAATTTCAGAACTTGAAGCTGGTACGTTAATCGTTTGCAAAACCGCACTAAAAAAAACACCCAAACAGAATAGAACTGAACTGAAAAAATTGCAAACCTGTAAACACGCACCATTGCATATGGGCATGTGAAGAAAAAAAGTCTGGCAAACAAATTTCGAAGAAATATCATACTACGTATTCACGATGGAATCGAAATTCGTTACTATTATTCGTACCAATAAAAGAACGACTTTTACCCAACGGTCACAACAATACAAAACACTGACCGCAAGCGCACAGCAAAAAACTACTAGAGCATAAAACCAAACCAAATCAAAAAAGAACATTTTAATACTGCATGAGACAATTCAAAGGTATCCAAATTAAATACTTTCTTTATTCGTCGAAGAATGGAAAACAAATTATTTGTGTAGAACAAGAAAATAAAATGGCTTGCAAATTGTGAACAGCCGTAGAAAAAAAAAACCAAAACTAACACCGAGCCCCATGCCAAGCATGAATATTGAGAGAAAAAAAATATACGGACCGCACCAAATCTCATTTACGCAGCAGACACATCAAGTCAAAATCGGTCGATCCAATTTTTAATCGATTCGAATTTGTAAACGTTTTTTTTTGACCAAAAATAGTCTATTTTTCAATCTCCATTTTTCGATCAATAGGCCATGGGGAAAGTAAAACTCGATTCAGTACTGGGCGTTGAAAATGATCACATCGAATCTACGCGTTTGGAAATAAAAAAAAAACAACAAAAATCGAAACTTTGTGTTTATTAAATGAAACGCTCATATTCGGTTGTTACTTCGCGGCACATAAGAAAATCAGGTATTAAAAAAATCTATAAAAATAAAATATCTCTTAAAAGATGACCTCCTAATATTCGAGAACCAGTTAAGCTTTTTTCTTGTTCCATCCAAACACAGCGTTAATTCAATTTTCTGTCAACGTTTTACTGTTCATCGTGTTAAACAAATTTGGCAATTATCATATTTGATTTCTTCAATGAATTGCGTTTCGTTGTTGTTGTTTTTTTTCGGTTTCGGGCATGTTACATGGAATTTACAAATTTAAAAAAGAAACCGTACGAAAAATCAGGTTCTTAACTGTTTTCTTTTTGTAAATTGTATGTTGAAATTGTGAATGTCTTTGACATTTTAATTCGCATGAATATTTTCATGCTTTCGCATATCCAACACATAACGACACATACGCACAGTCGACACAAACACATGAATCTTGAATACTGCTCATTTATTTGATGTGCATGAATAATTAATACAATGAAACGACACACAGCGACATATCAGTTGAACATACGCATCGAACGTGGTGCTAAGAAGTTCAGCAGGGAGAGAATGAAGAAATGTGTGCATGGTATGATATTTCTCAATTCAGTTTGTTTCAGTTTTTGTTTTGTTTTCAGTTAAATAACAAAAGAAAGCAATACCGTTTAATTGTACTTGTTCACCGTTATCATAGCAGATGAACTCACCGAATTCTATTGTTCATCATCATTTGTTCGCGCTCACACGCACGCTCACTTCACCACATCCAATTCGAACTCTTATCTTGCCCGTTTCCATGCATTTTGACTTTGAAAGCGACTTTGAAGCCAGAATTGTACAGGTAACAAGTTCAAATGTACACAAACGCACATCTGTATGGAATATATTTACAGAGCGGAAATTCAATTTCCCTCACTTGTTATCATAATGTTCTCTGAAATGATGTGAAAATTTCTGCTTGCACTCGCTCCATTTCTAGATTTTAATCTGAATCTTGATGTTATAAATGATTTCTGTATTGTATGAAAGCGAAAAAGGTAATTTGGTTCTGTTTTTGTGTCTAGTTTTGTCTTAATGCATCCAACGCCTCCGCCATTATGTCTGCATTTGCCCATATTACAAACTGATGGTGGGTATCGGATAAAATAGCAAAATTTGCCATGACTAAATCCATCAAAGAAAGGTGAGAGATCGAAATATCGATACAGCGTTTGAATAAAATCACACGTTTTTCTAACCGTTCACATACTTACCATGCTCCTGATATTTATCCAACACTTAAACCAATCAGCACTTCATTAAACAAACGTTTAAATTGACGAAGTTTTTCATTATTCGATCTGACATGTCGGCGAAATTAGCCGCTATAATAATGGACACACACTTTCATCGATGTTTGAATTAAGGTAAGTAGATGCCGTATTTTCGCTTTTGTTCTCGTCTCTTTCTCTTGCTCTCTGCCTAACTGTCGGCTTTTCTCTCTTTCTCTCTGCTCTTCTCTTCGTCGACACTTTATTAAAGTTGGTTTGTTCAACAACAAATAAAACCACAATAACCATTCACAAGAAATTTTTAATCCATTAGATATGGAGTATTCGAGCGAATCGTGATTACTTTTTAGTGGCAAATTAAAAGTATTGGAAACAAGACACCAACCATTATTGTCGTCAATGTTTTGTTATTCATCGCATTGTCGAGAAAGAGAAGAAAAAAAATACATCATCAAACGCATCTTCCATCAGTTTATGTCTATTTTGATGGGCTTTCGTTTATTTTTTTTAACTAAGTAAACAGCCGAAAGGTACTTGCCGATGAATGCTTGTGTGTGTGCGCGCATTACAATGTTATTATATGGTTAATACATGTACCGTGAACATTGATCGTTAAAATATGTAGACATTGGTGTGTTCGGTAGCCAACGACAATGTAATTGCCGTTAGTTAAAAGAGAAACAAATCAAGATAAGCTTGACAACACGCCGTGTCTAATTATTATGAGTGTTTGACACGTTGACAACGTCCCAACGTCCGCCAACACATACTTTTTCTTTTCATGACCGGTATTCGCATCATTCGCCAATAATTTTAATTGCACATCAATGCACTAGTGTGGTTCATTCAACCAAAATTATCTTTACGCACAACGAGATTATCGTCATGATATGCGATAAATCAATGTGTCCCGAATGCTGCAAAGAATAATCAAGGCATACAAATATTACATGATGTAATTAGAATCTTAATAGTCTATATAAAAAATAAATTTTATCACAGATCTTCTCAAGAACAACTCATTTGGTGCAATGTGCATATCGCAGTGTGCATTGAACTTTTGATTTAAGTCTCAACACATTGGAAGTACTTAAACCATTTAAAGTACACAAATTTTGTTTTTATTCGCCTGCTTTATTCTTCCGCAGCTTTCAATTTTATATATTAAAGCAAAAGCGCCTCGATTGCGACTTCTACTTCAAAGCGTGTTTTTTCCCTCTGTTAAGCCGAAGCTTGAGTATTTTTCACAGATTTGAGTGAAATTCACGGTGTAGATGATGATCGATGAAGAGTGGCTCATGTTACATGCAGACAGCATTGGTCTGAGAAAAGAGAACGCGTCGATTCGATTTGAGTTAAATGCTTGCCCATGCTTGTAACGGCATACATCAATGTTGATTGAGTTGAAAATGGAAGAACAGTGGAAAACTATGTCGAGAGAGTCTGACATAGGTGGCTTCATAGTTAGCCGCACATTGTTTGTAATTTTAGTTTTGCGCTTGACTTTGGTCTGTTCGGCCACCAAATACACTGTGCTCCCATTACATTTTTTTTTTCTAAAGTGTTTTATATTTTGGATACCACAACATCAAATGAATTTGTTGAAAGAATAAGTGAGAATGCTCAAAACGATCAGATGAACTGAATCGAAATCGTCAAACTGTTGTTCAAGCGCCAAAGAGAAAAAAAATAAACAGAAAAATATCCAAACTGTAACTGTGTTGTGTTCGCTTAAGCTAAGCGTAAATCAATTTTTTCAAAAAGTCAACGGATTATTTCATTTGTTATTATTACAATTATTCTTTAACATACATAGCGCGAGAAAAAAAAAACATTTTTGGTGTGAACAAACCGATTGAGAAAAGAGAAGAAAAACACAACAACAATAACAAACTGTGGATAAAAGTTTATGTCATAAATTGAATTTTTTCATATTTTTCTTTCTTGTGAGTGTGTGTGAAACGTGACGAGAGATCAATTGACGAATAGAGAAAAATATCGTCAAAGGAAAATTCATTCAACGAAAAATTAACTTTGTAAGTCATTTTCTCAGAAGTCAAAAAAGGAAAACAATTCCATTTCAGTTTGCAAAAATACGTAGATTTTTTTATTATTTGTTTTGTACACTAAACGGATGAATGCCATTTAACCATAAATAAATACCACGGAAGTTTTATTGAAATGTAAGTGCTTTATAGAAATGATCGCTGTTTGCGTTCGGGCATATAAACAATTGGCTAAACTCCATTTTGACCGACAATAAAATTCATATTGTTATCTAATGGATAAACATAGCGTAATTAACGTTTTATGGTGTGATTCATCGTAATTTTCAAAAGGTGTGTCAATTTTGCGAATTGTAAAGCTCATTCATCCAGTTAAAACCGTTGTAATTATATTTTATTCCAAAGAATTCCTTATCAAATGTAAATTAAATCAAAATAAATCATAAAATATAAAAGATAATGAACGATATGCTTCACACATGCAAAAAAAAAAACGGAATTATGTTTGATGAGCTTTTTTCACCAGTTTTATGAAGTTCGTTTTTTCGACGAAAAACGGGCCTAATCTACAAATGAGAAATTGGTGCGCAATTTCGCGTAAAACAGAGAAAAAGAAAAAATTAGTACACACAAATCATTATTCACGCAAAAGTGATACTGGAAAATGGACGATAATGGAATGATAAATGCATACAGTTGTAAAAAAAATAAAATACTGTAATCGTTTTATGGAAAGAGCCAAAAGAAATGAGAAAAAGAGACAGCAAAGAGCGGAGTACTGTAAGCAAACACCTTATTTCGTTCGTTGATTCAAACGCCAATGCTTTGACTGACTTCTTCGAGGCCCAACCGCCAAGAAATGAACGGCGAATCGACACAGATCGATAAGCACCTTATGCACACACATATATATATATATATATAAAATAATTTTTTCTGCATTTAGCTTCATAATTATCGCCTATATATTTATTTATCGTGTTTTCTCGTTCTTCATCATTTTTCATTATTTGTTTTAATTTTTCTTTGTTGCCGCGAGATGGGAAATGTTTGCGTCAATCATATTAATACTTCCATCTGGTTTGGTGAAGACGTTTCTTCTTCTGTGGTTGGCCATTGGTTTCCGGCTTTCTTTTGTTCTTGCATGTAATTCATTGAAGAATCTTTATTAAGATCGTTCGTACTCTCTCTCTGTCTCTATCCATCTATCAATGCGATTCCAATTGTTGTTTTTGCATCATGCTTTAATAATTATAATTCGCTTAAGCAATGTGTGCAATTTGGTTTTTCATTTAATAACTTAATGTTATAATTCCTCGAAAGTATATGATTTATTTTCATTCCGACCAAATCAGGTATAGAATCATTGACGATAATATTCAAAGATTTTTCATTCATTTCATCATCAGAATAAAAAAAAAACAAAACCCAACAGAAAAAGAAAGAATCCGCTCTTTTTTTATTTGAATTTCACTTAAACGAAAATTCGAACTGCTTCGATAAGTTTGTAATTGTAAAGTGTGACGATACAGCACCAAGTGCTTTGCAAAGCATATATTTCTTCTGCTCCATGAATTTATTCCCCTAGCTTATCACATTTTACAAATCGCAATTTCTCCGCACAACATTTTCGTGTAAATCATAGGCGCAAGCATAGATCGGGTTCGTCGTCTATCCGATCTAGTGTATTCTTCGAGCCATGAATTATAGCATCTGTATTTCATTTAGCAAACGATTAGAACACATCAAACAAAATACGAATCATAACTTTATTATCTTGAACATCACAAAAATAAACATCAACATACAAATGCAACGCATACCACTTTAATTACATTCGGACTAAAACTGTAAATCTTAATTCGGCATTATCTCATTTACATCATCCTAATTTCAACACAACGTTAACTCTGATCATCTTCGCACACGCAACTTTTTTATTCACTTTTTTTGGCATTTCAAACTTCCAACATAACTAAAATGATTTAATTTAATTAATGTTCTGCGCAAAAAACATGTCTATCATTTTTTGATGTAAAATTAATAACGCTGATGAATTTCAAAGGTGTTGATTATCAACCGCAAGAAAAATGGCCCCCGATGGTTGATTTATTGGATCAATGATTCGTAAGCAAAATCGTAGCGAGGAATCATTAAAATAAAAAGAAATGAAAAGAAGAGCTACTGCCAACACTTTTAAGAATAAACTCATAGAATTTGAGATTTACTTCGCACAATGTAAACGATTTTTTTTATTATTGAAGAGGAATAAGAAACGTTTGCCGACTTCTTTTGAAGATCAAGTCACCGTCAAGTTGAATTTATATCTTTTATTTATGATTTTCCATAAATCTCTAGCGTTCATAATTGGACAAGTGCGAAGTGAAAATTTATAATGAGAACATTCCAACATTGTTAATGTTATACAAGCTGCGTATGGAATCGCCACACAAATGGGCGATTCAGTGAAGCCATAACGGTACATTACATTTATTCAGATGATGTAATGACTTCTTCACTTGAAATCACATCGATTGAATCAAGAAAAAGTTTCAATTTAAACGCATGAAATTCGTTGTGAAAACTTATCATACCGGAAAGAAGACTCCCCATCGGGCAAATCAATTGAAAATATTTTGTCAGTTAAATCACAAACGATGATCGAACGGTGTAGCGCGACATTCACCAAATCAAACATTAGTTGAAATGTAGTTCATCAATGAAATGACCCTTAATTTTTCATATTGCTTTTTTATATCACATGGGATATTCAATGTCGGTCAATTTGTTATCTTAATGAATTGTGTAGAAATTTGAAAATAACAAACAATAAATCTATTGATCAAAAGGCCAAATCCATATATCACTTTCATTATAGAAATAATAACCGTTTATCATAACTATGAATAAATGTCACTATTCACATAAATGTTCACAATTTAATTTGGGTCAATCCATCAAAAACCAAACATGCCCATTCATAATCATTGTTGCATCCACTGAACATGCTTGATGTGATAAAAGAAATCGGTTTTCACATTTCGAATAAAAACCAACAAAACAAATAATTATTAATAATCTGTGTGAATTCTAGCAGTTTTTCAGTCGTTGGCTGATTTGGAACGGCCGAATAGAGATATCGAGAGATATGGAAAAGCATAATCTATGATATTTTGTCAAACGGCTTTTCATTTGCCAACAAGCATTCTGAATAGTTTGTGCTTTTCATGTATTTTATTGTAAGATTATAAATTTGTTTTTGCCTTTATTCACGGTGAAGGTGTCCGTGAATAATTCACCACGTGATGAAAAATATGTTAAAACGTTGTTTTGTATTGAAAAGAAGCAGAAGTTGTAAAAAAAATATAATCTGTTTTAAATGCGGCTTGATGCTGCCTATTTCACCAAAGATATCAAAAGTTTACTGCGATGGGGAATCAAGATAATTGATTTTCATCCGAATTCTGATTTAAATTTTCAAATAAATTGTTTATTAGTGATGACGATGCTATGTGATATGAACTTACGTGGTTAAATGTTTCGCTTTAATTTTTTTTTTCATCGAATCAAATTTGAATAAGAATGAAACTTTTTGGGAATGACATTGAAATAAAAATAAAATGAAAAGCATTTCAAAAAGCTTTATTCTAAGAACGAATTTCTCTTCTTTTGTTTACCTCTCTTTTTGATGTACCACAGCAGTTTCAATCGGCTTGTGAATACGACACAACTGTAAACTGATTGTTTCAGGCAGTTTTACTATTCGCTTATTTCTTTTCTTTAAATCTAATGTCATTAAATGAGATGTGCACCGCAATGTGTCACTAATCTCTAGACTCATCTCATGAGTGTTTCACATATTGATGCTGTTGTTGCGTGAGTTTATGGAATATAAATCGGTGAAATGATTTTGTTTTTTTTAATTTGTTATCGTCATTTATGTGTCAACGCCAATCTATTGCCATTGTTGGTCTGAAATGCGGACACGCATACAATAGACTCTTACAAAAGGAATACGCTCTTTTCGTTTTACTCTTTCTGTATTAGAACAGGTCAAAAATAATTGGCACAAATACAAACGATAAAACGATGACTGAAATCCAGACGCTCATGTAAATCAGGTTGCATTTGAAATACAAAGGAACCATTTAAACCAGTTAATCAACATATTTCAAAGTCAATCACATGCGGAAAATGCACCAGGTATTCAATCGATACGTATACAATCATAGTTTTTTGAAAAAAAATGATGTGCTACAGAGAACAAAAAGGCAACACAATCATCATAATAATGGTAATCGGATGGATTCATTTGCATATTAGTTTATGTATGGCAGCAGTTGTTGAGATTAACAAAATCATATATTTGCTATGATTTCTGTAAATGCTTTCTTCCGCGCTTATTTTTCAAATCTAAATGAGGGATGCCACCGCTGATGCATTTATTATCTGCGTTTTTTTTTGTATTTAATGATTTTCTTCTTATTTTTCATCGACCATATGTGCCCACACACGAAACGCCGTTATTTATGAACATATAATTTTATTCACGCAAACAATCTATTATTACATTTAAGTACACATAATTAGAAGCGAACATTTCATTGCAATTGATTTGAGCGCATGTTCATTAAAGTGCTTTCCAATTAGTGCAATTAATGTCTTACACATTAAAATCGGGTGAAGTATTGATCTTCGATCATTTACACCATTTCCAAATTGAATTCTCATACAAAAAAATTATGCACACGCCATGTATATTGGCATGGCCTTGACAATGATCATTAAAGTATGTTGTTAAATTTGTTATTGGCGCGATATGTGATGTCAAATTGCGGCTCCCACATGATTCTCTCTTTGTAACGGCTTCCTCACGTCACCATGATGAATAAACAAAGCAACACATAAAACAAGTTTCAATCATTTATGGACTGACGTGACCATTTACAAGAAATCTCAACGACCTTTCTTAATAGCCAATGGCGTGACTTTATATATCATAGTGCTAACGTATTTACAAACAAAAAAAAATCCGTTTTGTCATTTTTGATCATAAAAAAACGTTTTAGCCGTTGCATCGTAAATCAATCGTCGATTAGATAAGCGTTAATTACAAACCAATAGTTGATAACTGTGACTGTAAAGTTGCTCTATATTTTTCTGATGGGGCATATTAATTTTAACGGCAAAATAATATCGACAATGTGATGGGATAAGAGCGTGCATCCTATTAGAAAAAAGAGTGAACAAAAACGTCGATCGCTCGATGTATCAAACGGTTCAACAGCACTTGCTGGAATGGCCAAACAAAATATATACAGAAACAAGTCTTGCAACATGCTTAAACTCTTGAACCACTAACCCATATTCATGTACATACATCTCGTTCGCCTGTTTGTACACTGAACCGTTCGTTTGCCTGGCAAAACAACTTACACACTATCTATGTGTCCATAGGCACATAATCGTAGAGAATAAATATAAATGAAGAATGAAGAAAAATATATCCGCGCTCGCGCATCATGATTACGCGATGAATTTGTGCGCGGTGCTGTATTTTTGTTGCCCGTAACAATAACAACAATAAAAACTGGTCTTGAATACTAAATGCATGCATATGTGGTGCTGATGCATCGGCACCATCAGCGAATATAAATGTAAACATGCACAAGTAAAACAACACTCCTAGTTCTTAGCTGCAAATTTATGACTTTGCTCTGATATTGCAAACATTGAATCGGTGAATTCAAGAAAGCTGCGGTAGCACAAAAAACACCGATGGTCTTTGCCAAGGCTTACACACGTTTGTCGACCGGATTGAACGGAAAATGCAAAAGCGCATTAGACAAAAAATGCATACGATCCTGTTATTCACTGACCAATCGACCCATTTTTGGCACATACACCACGAAGACGCTTAAGCTGGCGTATAGCCAACGAATTTGCATTGTCAATCGCTCCGAAACATATTTGTTTTTCTAAACAATCTTCGAATGTTGCTGTTTTTTGTGTTCAGCCGAATAACACGTCGTGTCGTTGAAGTCAAACAAGCGATTAATTTTGTGATTTCTATGCATCATATGATCGTGTTTGGCCTATTTTATGTAAATAATTTATTGATGTTTAAATTGGGTCTAAATGTGCCTGTCAAATATGTTTTTTTTTTTGCATTGGTAGCACCAAAGCTTGAATAGCGTATTGAATACGTATTATCAGCAGTGAGATACGATGCAAGAAGTGAGCAATGTAGTCCAATATGATCGTAAAACACATATTGAGAATGATCAAAATGACTTTATATGGTTGGATAAATGAAAAGCTGTCGCACATCAACAAAAAGAGAACTCGTTTCTACCGCTAATTCGCACCGATTTTGAAAAGAAAAAAAAAAGGAACTGGTTTTCACATTCATACGGCCACTGTTCGCTACACAAATATATACTGTTTTGTGTGAGTTTGATTGGCATTCTTTCTTTCATTTTTCCAAATGTGGTTTATATTGTCTCTCCGCGCTAATGTTTCCGGACTCATTGAAATGGTTTTTTTTTTTCGTACGCATCGAAAGAAAGAACGGTGTTACACATTTAACGACATATTACACGGATTTCATGACACAAACGTACGGTGTATGGCAAAAAAACAAGTCCAATACATTGGCTGCTGTTGCACGATGTATTTGGCCTTTTCATTTTACCGTCGATGCGGTGATGTTGATTTTACCTTAATACATAGGACGGCGATGCGACAAAAGTGGATCAATAATTCAATTGAAATAAATTATAGAGATAGAAACAGGCAAAAGAATTTCCACGCACACAACGTATTGATTAAAGAGAGATTTTTTCTTCTTTAGAAATAACCAACTAAGTCGCAAACAGATTATGTTTATTATATAGAAAGAAGTTTCTATTTTTCTTCTTTTATCGATAGGTAGGAGTCTACGACAAATAAAACTAACCAATTCTGTGTCACGGGAATAAGTTGGTTTGCACAGTTATGCGTCTAATTCAAACTGTTCTTCTCATTGGAAGCTGGGGTTACTGTTGTTGTGGATGCTTGTTTTTCTTCATCGTCGACGATAATGAAACGAAAGCATCTACGGCGCGAGCCAATATCACGCAATAGCCACATACAAAACGACTTGATCATTGTAATTAACGCTGAATGTATGGTTCTTATAAAGTCACGGTCAAAAATTTGATTCATTTTCTCCCATTTCATATATGTTTGTAATTATTAAATTACTAATTACAACGTCGATTTGATACTGTTTTCAATATATCATTTCATTGTGTTCATTTGCTGGGAAAACTGGAAGATTTACCATGAAAATTGTGCTATGCACTTTTTTCTATTCGGCCAGAAAATTAGACATTACAGTGTAAAGGAAATCCGATTATTTGAAAAATATTTTACACTTTAATGATCATGATTAAATTAGTTCATGTACAATGCAATTTAATTTTTATGGTGTTTTTTGCCGTCTACAGTTAATTATGCTGCTCATTTTATCGTACATTACGTATTTAGATGGCGGCACATTTTTATTGTCAACCATAAACAGTTAAAACTTCGAAATGCAAATACACTGAATTTAGCACATCCATACCACTGCCGTCTCGATAAGTTTCATTTTTCTTTTAATTCGAATGTGTGAGCTCCATTCAAATCAAATATTTCATAATGTGCATGATATAATTTGTCTATTTCGTCTTAACAAATGATCTTCAGATTAGATCTGGTGCTACCTTTTAACACAATTGTCTCGGCTCATTTAATGTTGAAAATTTGCGTAGATTCATCACTTTTATTATGATGATCAGCAAAAATCAACGATTTTTTACGCATTTTTCCATTCTTTTTTCTTATAAATTCAAACAACAAAGATTGCCAATGAGGAAAAGGAATACTTTCTATTTTTCAAACGAAATCTCCGGAATCATGGTGTTTCAAATGGAAAATTTCATTTCACCGAATGATACACATTAAATATTAACTGATGTTGTACTTAAGCTAAGAAACAAAAAGCCAATTGCTGCGTGATCATTTGCATTTGATTTTAAAATGCATTCTTTTTGTTTTGTTCATTTAAATAAAATTTATTGGACGATGTTTACAATTGCAATTTATTGTAATTTGGTTTTGAAGAAGAAAAAAAAAATAGATGAAATGCTTCGTTTAGCAAGTGATATATATTCATTTGATTGAGCTCTTGTGCAGATTTCACTATTTCGAGTTGTATGTGACTAATGTGTTTATTATGATAAAATGAGATGAGACGCATGCTACACACAGGCCATCAAATAACACCATTGCACAATGTCTGAAAAGTTCATTATGATGAATTTTCTTCTTTTTAATGCACATTTCGAGATGAAAAAAAAGCGTCGAATATGCCATAAGTAAGCATCATCAATAAATGAGTAAAAAAAATGATCGATAAAGATGCAATTCAGAAGGTAAAAAATTGATGGTAGAAACGTGCGATAATTAGAAGTGAAAGCCCATTTGATGATACGGTCTTTAGTGAGCCTTCTATACTACATTCACAACAAAAGAACAAAAAAAATGAGTGAATTGTGCAAAATAAAGTGCGCAACGAAAAGAAACGACGTTCGCTTAAAGAGTATCGAAAGCGATTGCCGTACGTTTTTTTCCTACTTTAAACCACTGATTTTACTACTGCTGTTTAGCCGAAGAATATTTATTCTTTTTTTTTTGTGCCGTTGTTGTTTATCGCATTTTGTCCGTGCAACATCGCGTATCCATTATTTTTCATGTAATTATTTTGTATCGTTTTTTTTTCTACTCAGCACACTCCATATAAAAAATTTGCTTGTCTATCCGCTATACTGTTGTGGCTGAAAAATGAGTGACGCTCATGCACTGCACACTATGTGCACATCTTGTGCACCATTTTACCATTTCAAGCTCTGGCCTTATAATGCATTGCGCATGCAATTAATGGTGATTTTTTTGTGTTATATATGTTTCTTTCTCCGCTCATTCTCTTACGAACATTGCTCGCAATTTCGCTAATTTATTTGATCAGATTTGGTTTTGTTTTTTGTATATTTAGTTTGTTTCGGTGCGATATAAATTGATGTCGTTCGTTGGCTCGTTCTTTCTGCTCTCTTCTCGCCAAATTTGGATCACATTTATTGTGCAAATAGAAATTGATCATTTTCCTTGAGATATCGCACAATACGCGATACATTGGTACTAAAATCATTTGGTAATGGATTCGGTGAACGAATGGTTTTCATAACACAAAATATTTGACGTGATTTTCTCTTCAATCGATTCAAACCAAGAAATTTATTTCCCAATTCTTTGGCATTATTTTCATCATTCTTGCATCTCAATTGTTCTGTGAGCTGATGATTTCCCCATTCATGACGATCACCCGTCAGTGCATTAAAGCTGATGATTGGATTGAATTCAATGCAGCATATTTTCGTGCATTTCAAGCAAAAAATGGCAAAAAGTATGGGGAAGTTATGGTTGATGTGTACCTAATGTAAATGTATTAGCGTGATAGAAAATGAAATTTAGAAAGAGAAAGAAATTGATTGAATTTTGCCCATATTTCAAAAGATGGTGTGATTACAGTCATTTGGACGCGCAAAAAAAGAAACATGCAAACATGAAAAATATTTTGTAACTCGAATGAGTATAGTATTTGAATTATTTTTCTTCTTTTTTTTTTGAATTTCAGATTGGAAACTAAAAATTAACAAATGCAAGAGTGGGAACTTTCCCTACCTGTTGTTTGCTGACTGAAATTTCCCCGGACCGCTCAACCATTGATCACAAGCGCATTGTATGACGTTCAATTAAAATCGAGAGCATACGCCGAATTGGATCAAGAACCCCACATATGCGCAAACACAAAAACATGGAAACAGGTGCAATCACCGTGTCACACACCATTGTATATGCAATGCATATTCTATAGAGAAATCAATGTATTCTAATTAGCATCTAATTGGTTGTCTGCAATCTCGTCGCTCATCATATCGACAGAGTACCATAAATTAAAGTTTTTTTATTTGCTTTTTTATTTTCGTTGCTTAGAAATTGCATGTGCTCGATTCCATCGTCGCGAACAACAACAACTAAATTTGCATACATATAAGATAAGTTTAGCAAGCGAGTGTGTGACTTTTAGTGTTTCTGCCAACATCAACATTGGATTATTTTATTAATTAAAAAATTCCATGTTTCTGTCTATGCGATTTTAAATGCATACATGTTGTGTTGATTCTTCGATGAACCAGAAACACATGTTGTTCAATTTGCATACATTTATTTACACTTTAATTTTCAATTGGCGTGAATCCGATCGTGCACTCTCATCAATACACCTGCAAAAATTTAATAACACCAACTGAAGAAGAAGAAGAAGAAGATATACAAACAATAACGCTGATTCTTTTGGGCCAATTGTGTTTTAATTCGATTACCAACAAACACAATTGTATATTTGAACTCATATATGTAAGCGCGCACAATTTTAAAAAAGAAGAAGAAGAAGACGCAGAAGCAGATAAAAACGATGATGAATAGCATATGGAAACAATAGCGTTGGAAACAATTCATGGCATCGTTCACAAAGTAATCGCTCACCGTGTCCAAAAATTGCAATTGTTGAAGCAGGCGCGCACTGGAAAAATCAAGGCACAGCGAATTCAAAATATAACTTGCAGGTGTTTAAAAGTCGGTTTAAACATTCAGTACGCTGCAATATTCATGTGCATAATAATAATAATGAAGGGGTAAAATAAACACCGGACAAACTACAATGTGCCGGAATCGGTAGTGTATCTGGTGAAAAATCATAACGCTATATATAACAAAACACAACATTCACGCACATTCATTTAAAAATGACCAACGGAATTTGCAACTGCGTTAAGTCGATGTACCAGAAGTTTTAAAGACAATACCAAAAAAAAACATCAGTCAGTCAGAGTGAAGATAAAAAAAGTGTTTTGTTTTTGTTCAAAACAAGATTATTTGCGAAAGAAAGGTGTGAGTTATTCTATTGTAAGTGTGCGAGCACGTTTGCAATTGAGAAAGAAAAACGAAGAAGACGAGATAAAAGAGTGTCGATAGCGAACGTTACAACGAACCGCCGAAACAAATAAATACGAATGGGAACGTATTTTTAATGTGAAATAAAAGAAATCGAAACATACTTAAGACATCAAACATATATGAGAAGAAATAACAACAACTGATTTGTTTTGTGCATTTAATTGAACGTTACAAGTAAACCGGCGATAAACGATGGAAAATGATAAAATCGCTCATACGTATCCATCAAATTAAGTCTATCTCATTCGCTGTGCATTTTGCCATTTATTGAAATGTTTCGGAAAACCATGTAAAGGTGTCTCGTGTGTGATTAGTGAATCGTGTACATTTTTACCGTCATTTTTTATCTTTGTTGAATTAGTTTCGACTTGAATTCGGTTTATGGGTACACCCGCCCGCGATACACATGTGCATGATACACGTACTTTTGATGAGTTTATTTTTCCTTTGAAAAGTAATCATTTGAATCGTTGCAATACAATAATTTGTTATTTAAGTTATAGTGTTTAGGCGCCGCAAAAACAAAGTAAACGATAATAACGGACAGACAAAGAGAAAAGTTGTGTGACTGATTTGTATAGCGCGCACAAATAAAACGTTTGTAATTACACAAAAAGAAACCACAATCAATTACAATCATTTACGTTACGGTTATAGTTCGATGAGAATTCAGTGAAAAAAAAATTATAAATATAAAATGGTGACCTGTAATTTTGATTCGATCAAGAAAATGGAGCGACCACGACGAAACACAACCAGCAGTTCAAATTCATCGGGCTTTCGATTGCTCGACGATCATTGTGACACGGTGTCGAGTGTCAGTCGAAATTCCATTTATAAACTTAAAATTGACGCCATGTTTGACGATACAAGGTGAGAACGGTGACATATCATAAAATTTTCATTTGTTTTTTTTTTATTTTTATTATGTAAAGAAAACAAATGATTCGAATGTGATAACAAAATTAATTGGTGAATTCGGTGTATTGTTTATTTAGATCGGTGGTAAGTCAACGACTTGACGATATCAACCCATCGATAAGTCAACGACGCCGGTTATCCTCAGCTGGTAGTATCCGTGACAGCAGTGGCATTCGTTGTCCACGCACAAATAGTATTCGTAGCAGTAGCAATCGAGGCTCGTCGACAAACATTCATCGCGGTTCAATTCGTGAAAGTTCCGGAAGAGGAACCAATTCGAATCGCTCATCAGGACGTTTATATCGCCACGGGAATCCAATAAATGTAACCCGAACCATGACAACAACAACGACAACCACAACAGCGGCTAATATTATTGAATACGGTGTCGAATGTGTGAATAACAAAGTTCAAAAGCAAATCGAACGCATGTTTACTGATGTGGCCAAAGATGAAACCACTTGCAGTTTTGCCGTTCGTTGTTTGGGATCGATGCCTTTGCACTCAAAAGTCACTAGTTTATTTGAGCTTCAAGAACCGTTACGTCAGCTGTATATAGCTGGGACTAGCCATAATGTATGTCATTTTATTGCCTTTTATTTCTTTTGCTACATTAGAAAAAAGAATTGGGGTCATCGATAACAAAATACCAATCATTGGTTTTGTTATTATTTGAATAAAAATGGCAGTTTATTAACTCAGTGAATGCCAATTGATATGTAAATTTCCGTAGCTTTTTACTTTTTGACCCAATTTTTGTGATTGATATTTGATATTTGTCAGCGTTATTAATAATTGTTTTCTCTTTTTTTTTCATGACAAAAGAATCAAAATACCGGATTTTTGGACATTTGTGAATCAGGCCTACGAATTCGAAGTGGTTCCAATGCAACCGAATCACAGGTGACTCCATTTCACAATATTGCCGTTTGGTCGGCCGTAAAATTTGTGCTGAGTCAATCGGAAGGTGCAGCCGCATTTCTTCCATTAATTACAGATCCAGAGAATTTGGATAAAAAATCACTTTTTAAACCGCTTAGGTATGGTCGTACATAATATTAAATATTTTTTTTACATTTTAATTGCAATTTCCAATCTCACTTTGCAGTCCATCAGATCGACGACGATTATCATCTGGTTCGCATGCGCCGATTTTTACGGTTGTGATGCGATCGAAGCAACCAAACCAACAATCTAAGCAGTTAGAATGTCATGCGTTTGTTTGTCAAACGCCAGAAAATGCAATCGTTATTGCAGCGACTTTGTATCAGTCGCTATTGGCCCATATGAGCAGTAGTCAAACGGAGAAAAATCGAAAGCCACGCAATCAAAATGGTGTTAGTTGTATAAGTATTGCCAGTAGTTCAGGTGCAAATCGTTACGGCAGTTCACGTGCTTCACGAGCATCGATGGCATCGTCCGGTATTCGCAGTAAACCACCAACCATTCCATTACCACCACCGCCAATTCCATCGCCACGTTTGGCTCGAATGCAAATCCAAGCAAATAGTAAACGAATCGCAGAAAATTCAATGAGCAGCGACACCGACAATATTGTACGTAATGCATTGCTCGAAACCTCATCATCAAGCGATCAACGTAAAAAACGTAGCTATAAAACAAGACGAGCTCCACCAGTGCCAACACAAAATGAATATAACAATCGAGGTTTGTTATGAAATTTACATAATGAGACATTGTTTTCACAAAATATGAAACTAAAAAAAATGGTTTTTGTAGCTTCTGACTTGTATAAAATATCATCGTCATATCGAGTGCAACAGATGAATACACAATCACATCGTCATCATTATCAAACGACCGATCAACTTGGCGGTGATATCATGACACGTGTTGCTATTCCACGTTCCGGGAGCTTTTTGAATACCAGCGGTTTAGCCAGATACAAATCGCGAGCAACAAGACGCGCCAAATGCGGTGGCGGTGGAGGGTGAGTTCGCATTCATATTTCTTAATTCAAATTAGAGCTTTTCCCAAAACTTTAAATGGATTCATATTTATTTTTTAGATCACCACTTGGATTTAGTGAACTGTTCAATGAATTCCGTTTACAGGAAAATCTTCATTCGCTCGATGATATTCTGAATGCCATAATAAATTCAGAGGGAATGTCATTTAACGATTTGAAACCGATTTATAAGGAATTTTTGTTGAAATTAGCGGTCACTCTGACAAAAGATGAACTGTATCAACGTTCAAAAAGCATAATGAGACGCCAAAAGAAGAAATTATTGCGACGCAACAAAGCCTATCAAGTAAATGTCCACAAGTGTATCAACTCACAATACACATCCGTCAAAATGCTCATTTCGACTATTGAAAATTTACTCACATGCACAATTCCTAATCGATTTCGATCAAAAATTTATCGTTTCAGTATCCACGAAAAACATTCTTTTTTGGTTCATATGGATTAAAACGTGTCTTTCGATTCAGTAAGTATTTTTTTCAGAAGAGAAAAAAGACCACCGCAGCAAGCTTGGATGGATTGGCAAAAAAGCGTGTAATCAATAGCAGCAGCACAATTACAAATAACCATCATCATCAGCACATCACCGAAATCCACACGAAACAAAATTATATAAAGAAACATCGCAGTAAAGCGGTAACCAGTGGATCAGAATTGTCAGAATCACACCAGTTTCAAAATCGCAACAGTTCCAGTGGGTAAGTTACAGAAATTCGAATCAAATGAATTAGTGGAAAATTTTCGTGTTAGTCAATTTATGCGAACTCAATTATTCTTAGATACGTTTCATACTCGGAATGCAGCTATAATTCGGACGAATGCACCTGTTCATCGGCCGATCGTTGCTATTGCAGTTTAGGTCCAGACAAATTGAAAACATCGCGTCGCACAAAAGAAAATAAACGATCATCCACTTATATTAAAAATACGGATACGTTGATTTCATGTCATTCAGATGATAAATGCTATTGCTCGTTGGATGATGGTGATGGCACAGCTGACGATGGCCTTTCAACGGCCACTTATTGTGACACAGAGAGTTGCCACAGCACAACAAAATGCTACTGTAAACATCGTGTCCACCGACCAACGACCACAAATGCATCAGTTACGAAAAAAATGAATCGAACTTGTGTAACAGACAGTTTGGCCTTGGACTATGAACTCTTTACCATTGGAAATGATCGAAGTCATCGATATGGTAGCTCAAAATCACGTACTAACAAAAATTCAAAGAACATTCGATCACAAGAAGCTTTGAGTGTCAAGAAAAGTGTTGAGATGGCAGCAGTTTTCGCTGATGTGAAGCTCAGTCAAACGACCGATGTGAGGCGTCTGAACAGCGATATCACGTCATCCGAAGAGGAACGGCTTGCTCGTAACAATCGCCGAAATAGCATCATTAGCAATCGAAGTCAACAAATGAAAAGACCTAATTCGATGTTCTCCAAGTCGAATAACATCATTCCGAATATCATCGAAGCCGCTGAACAGAATCCAATATTCAGGAAAAATACACAGAAAATCAATGAAATGTATCAAACAATTACGCCAAAAGTGGTCGGTGCCACTTTGGAAGATTCTTTGGGTTATTTGCCATGAAAACCACTATCCATTCCAAATTGTTGATTTATTCTTAATACAATCTTTTGGGACACAATTAACAATATTTTTTATGGGAAAAATGTTTACATAATTGTGCAGAGAAAATTTTGTATTTGGAAAGGAATTATCTTGGAATACTTACTATTCATTTGAAATAAAAAAAAATTAAATGTAATGACACTGTTTTGCCATTGATGCAACAATTTATTATAGATATTTGGATTATATCCTAATAGAACCCATTTTAAAGACTATATTGAACATACTTTAAATGACATTTGTAACAATCCACTTTATTCCCAGTTATTTTTTCGAGACTGGGTCATTTATTGATAATATTTTAGACTTTATAACTTAATTACGAAGAACAATGAACAAAATAATAATCCAAAATATGAAATAATCTTGTGCAATAATTCCATAACAAAGAAATGATAAAATATGTGCAATTTTCATTTATGAAATATTTTCGACAACATTTTTATACAATAAACTAAAATAAATGAAAAGCCAATTGTTTTTATTTCCGGATATTACTCCTTCTATTCGTTCCGATTTTGATAAAATATTCTCGATTTTGGGCCATACTTCCTCAGAGCCATTGTAAATAAGAAAAAACTCAGCGAAAGTCAACATCTTGTATAAAAACGCCCATAATTATGCAAACCGAACATTTTATCAAAGGCGTTGTTCATTGGGTCGTTGACAACTAATACATTTACAGCGCACGATCACTGTAATCTATGCACATCATATGATTTTGACGACAGTCTTACAACGACGAGTCTACAATTTGTTTGATATTTTCCATTGGCTTAGTCTACCGTATACTGTCAGTGTAAGTTGTATTAAGTTCGCTCGCGCAATCAAAAGTACGATATCAAAAAAATGGCCAGCAACACTCAAGGAATTCAACAATTGTTGGCTGCTGAAAAGAAAGCAGCCGATAAAGTTGGTGATGCTCGTAAACGTAAGTAAAATGATAAATCTATACTAAATATTCAAAGGAATAAAAATGATTCGCATAAAGACATTTTCGTTTGTGATGATAGATCATGTGAGTGTTTTTTCACTTGTGTAAATGGTCACATGACCACATTTTGATACTACAGTTAAATGAATGCCATGTCCAAAATCTCAATAATTTTGGCATAATTACAAAGTTTTTTTGTGATTTTCATTTAGAAAAAAAAGTAAAAAAGAAATATTCAAATGTTTAAATTATTATAGGTAAAGCACGACGTTTGAAGCAAGCCAAAGACGAGGCAACCGAAGAAATTGAAAAGTATCGCCAAGAGCGTGACAAGCAATTCAAAGATTTTGAAGCCAAGGTAGGTTGATATGGAGGTTGATTTTCAAATATTCGTATTAAATCGAACTCGTTATTTTTGTTTTTTGGAATTTTCCGAACAGCATATGGGATCACGCGAGGGTGTTGCAAGCAAAATCGATGCTGATGCCCAAGTGAAATTGCAAGAAATGCTTCGTGCTTTGGCAAACAGCAAAGAGCCAGTTATTGAAGCTGTTTTGCAGTACGTTTACGAAATCAATGCAGATTTGCACAAAAACTTCCGCGCAGATCTATAGAAAGGTGAAACATTCTCATCTTCAACTATCGAAATTTCATCAATGCTACGCCAAATGTAAATCGGCAATATTCTACAGTTTTGCTCTCGTACATGTTATGTCATCAATCAATGCTGTGCAAATGCTGAGCGAAATCACTTTGGTGCTTAAATTATAGTTATTTTCTTTTTTTTCAAATCTTGAAATTTCATTTTTTTTTGTTTTACATTGTGTTAACATTCCGAATATATTAGACGATCCATTTGATGCAAACATCAGCAATCGCTCATTCGAGGCTCAATTTTTTTTTGTTTGATGAGTTTGCATTGAACACACATGTATCTTAATAGATTTATAAATTGTAAATAAAACAAACCCAAAAGTATTAAATTCACTGATTAATTGCATTGACTTTTACTTATTTTTGATTTTGTGTTTTAAGAAGAAAAAAAAGTCCACATTTTCTTCATGAAAGTGAGTGTGTGTAATGAAAATATTTTATTTCATTCGTTATGTTACATCTTATTGACTAAAAAGTTCTTTTTAAACAATAAATTATCACGTTTAATCCCTAAAGATACGATTCTCATAATTTTTTATTTCTGCGTGTGAGCGTTTGTCTCTGTGTTGATTTGCTGATGCAATTTGCCTTGAAATCACATTGGAAGAGTGTCTTCTCATAAGTCAGCCTTTGTATCGAGCGGTGTATAACCGACCGGAATTTCCTTCAGTTCAATGCGAAGGCAGAGAAATTCACCGCCCACACACATGACTGTTGCACAAACTGCATTCAAGAACCACCATGAAAATGTTGACGGAAATGCACCGTTGTACATCCAGCAAATAATCAAATGAATCAAATGATATGTACATGTGAAGTCTAAACATAGTTTCGTACGACCAACTATAAATCGTAACACTAATGCACCGATAAAAGCAATCACCACGAATGACAAGATGACCGACCTACCACCTGAATCGGTGACGTGAATTTCCTACAAAATTAAAACAGAAACAACTTTGAATTCAGGCTGTTATTTGAAAATATCTACTGTCTTACATGGTATTGAAAGAGATGATCCAGAGTATGATTCGCACCAACAAAAACATCCATAATTGCCATAATGAAACCCAAACTCACGTACAGAACTGATTGAACGGCTATAATCTGTGCAATTAACAGCAACGGGTCCCATTGTGTGTGAAATCGAAATCCCGATTTCATTTTCATTGCTTTAATTTGTTATGTTTATTTCTAAAATCTTCTATTTTCTGCTGCCAGCAATAATTAGCACCTCCTTTCAACTTAGAATCTCCACCATTTAATGAACGTGTAACAATTTAAAATGTTGGTTTTTCAATCTCCAAAATGCATAATTAACTGTTCACACATTAATTTTGCACATAAAATTGATAATTGAAATGAGATACATATATATATTTTCGATTTCGCTTCAACTATTGAGTCACTGTGACGTTTTATTTGTGTCTCGTATTCAATTTGACAGTTGCAATAATGTCAAATCAAAGTTCGTGCGTGATGATGACGTCGATGATGCCTGCGTGATGATTTTAACTAACATTTATGCACAGCGCAATAAACGACTCGTGTACACGCACATCTATCAAATAAAATAGTATACGCGCGGCCATCTATAAAAATGTAATACGAATCGAAACAAAGGCATAGCATACATACAACATATGAACAAATCGATGTACAATGGTTGTGACTCTTTGCCAAACTCGATGCGAGAAAGTGTGAGCAAGACAACCGTATGGATTTCTAAAGGAATTCCAATTGAGCGGTTGGGCCATAAACCGAGTCGCTTGTATTTCATTCGCATACAACGTCACGCAAAAAAGCATGATGTTATACAATTCTGAAATAAAAAATCACACACACACAATTGGGTAGCACACAGACACTCTCTCAATACTTGTGTTCTCTGCCAATGGATTACATGGCACTTCGCATAACTGTCAAACATATATTATTTTACATACACTCTCGAGCATAGAAGGCGAACGAACACAGAGTGCAGAAAACAAACGGAATATACGAGAACGAAAAAAAGACAAAAATATATATCTATATAATATTCTTCTTCTTTTTTGTTCATTTAATTCTTTTTTCATTCAATTTGATCGCGCTTCGTTCGTACCAAGTCCCATGAAAAATCCAAAAATCTTTGTTTTCTTTTTCACACAAATATAAATCTCGTTTGCATTTTTTTTTTTTGTTTGACCGTGTCACTGTCATCGAATCGAATCAGAAGAGAGCAACATACAACAAAAAAAGACTCGACTCACATATATTCGCCTAGGTCTGTTTCTTTTCTCTTCTTCATTTGGTTTCGTTTGGGATTTTGGTTTTTGCCAGTGTTTGCCGCATTTGTGTGTGATTTTCAATTTTGGAAATGTGAAGTGTTTGCATCGAAATAAATAATAAAAAAGTTTTGTTGGCAGTTTAGACAAGTCAAGAGACTGTCGAACATAAATTTTGTAATCAATTCGTATTGTTTGGTATGTGGTTCACTTCTCAAGTTTGAATTTACTTAGTTCGTGGCATCGCGTTCAAAGCTGTGATAAAAACGACGACTACAACGACAAGGAGAGAGAAAACTAAAAAGTTGTGTGCGTGTTAAGTGCAGAAAATATATTGAGGCGACCCAGCGAATATCCGCGAAAATACAAACCCAACTTATGTGAAAAGAGTTGAAAAAAAAAAATTATTGACATTTGAAGAAAAAAGTAACAAAGGAAAAAGTGTTTTATCATTGTGCAAAAAAAATCATTGAATGCCCGAAGACACGCTTTAAAATCAACGTTACAAACATTTCTTTTAAACTGGATTTGCAATTCTGTCACCGCACCAGAAGCTCTCGAAAGATTTCACTCGGGTCAGAAAAATTGCTGCATCTACAACTACAACAACAACAACAACAGCATATTTGCTGCGTGGTATGTACGACTCTCGCATTTCTCTCTGTGTATTCTGCACAACGAACCTAGCCATTTATTGTTGTTAGAAGGAATGTAATCTCAGTTTACAGTTATCAAGCGAATAGAAATAGAAAATTGAGAGAAAAATAGAGAATAAGAGAGTATGGAAGAGAGAAAGAGAATAAGAAAACATGAAATACTATCAAGTGATAAATATAAAACTTATGAAGACGACAATATAAAAAAAAGAAACAAGAAAAAAATCAATATCAAATAACAATTTGCAGTCGATGGGGTTTCAATTATTATCGTTTCATGTTAGAAAAAAAATATTCACACGATTTGTATCGTTTTGACAAAATAGTCTTGTCTCTGATTAGCACGCCTTATAACTACTAACAATAGCAATTGTTATCGTTCTTTTGTCATGCCATTCTTATTTTGTTTTCTAAGTGGAATGCAATAAGAATATAATTGCCCTTCGAAGGCTAAAGAAAAGGAAACGTATATGAAGAGGGAAAAAAAGAAGAAAAAACTCAATTTTGTGAATGCGATGACAGTTAAAACGATATGACACTGTTTAGCGTCAATTTTTTTGAGCATATATGTGTGTGATTTCGTATTGGTGTGCACTTGAAAAATGTGCTGAATGCAAAAATAAATCCCATTTATTTATCTCTCACAAGTTTGTAACCCCCGATTAAGAATCAAAATGCATTTTGACGAAAACTCGATCTTTCATTCATTCTAATTTAAAGGAAATTCATTCATATTCGTGAAATGTTTAATATATTTTCGCTATCTAACTCTTTCTATCTCTCTTTCTCATCTTGAATTTATATTTTCGCTTCGTTCGTTCGATTTGGCATGTTTGAGTAAAAGCAATTTTATTCGGTTGATCTGTTTTCAATTATGGACTTATCGAGGTGAACTAAAACAATACACATACACCCATACAATGGGGACGGTGAAATACACATGTGCCATATGAGCATTTCTGATTTGTATTGGTTTTCTGTCGTCGTCGGTATTTTTTTTTATTTTCTTTTTTCATTTCATTTCGTTCATTCCTATTGAGTGCCCGATGACTGACTGACTGACTTACTGAAATCATTTCATTAAATCTTTAATCTGATTCTAGATTTTATTCTAATGACTTTGTGAATTCCATTTTTGACGTGCCTGTTGAATAGCATGAAGCACGTATGAACTCGGTCATTCATTGCTCTATGATTAATTAAGCAATGAAATAATATTTCGTTTATGTGTGTGAGTGCGTTCGAGTATCAAAAAAAATGTAAGCAAAAAAAACAAACACACTTTCAATGTATATTTTCGTGCAAAATAAAATAGCTAAATGCTTTTTCCTCGGCCGATTCAAGCGCCTCGAAAACGGGCAAGTTGATAGTGTTTTAGAATAAGGGCCTGTGTTAAATGACGATGTTATTAAATTTTATTACTGGTTACAGAGACGAATCGACGAGTATTTACAAATAATTTGATTGTGTATTGTGCAAAGTGAATGTGCTTGATTATATCTGTGTGTACTTCTTTTCGGTGTTTTTTTTTTTTTTCGTTCGTTCGTTTATTTGTTCGTTTGCGCCAATTTTTTTCCTTAATTGTTACTCAGTTTTTTTTTTCACTGCTGCAATCGTATGATTTCGAGCGGATAAAGCTACCGCCACCGCACCGTAAAGTCATAAAATATCATTTTGTATTAATGGAATTTTGTAAGTTTTCGCGAATAAGACGACAAAAATACATATTATTCAATTATAAATAAACCGAGAGAAAAAAATCAGTTGAAAACTAAAAATATTTTGTCTGTGCTGCGGTATAAGAAATATTATGTCAAAATTCGTATGTGGTTTGTGACTCTGGTTACGACGATTGTCTGTTCGGTTGGTTTTGTGTGTGCGCACACTGTTGAATGCAAATCATTCGAGAATCTATTTAGACTCGTGATGCATTTTTTTTTTGTTTCAAATTTTTGTATCGAGTATTGTTTTAATGGTGTCGATGTGTGACACAGTTGAAATTGTGAGTCAAGTCGTCGCACGAACAATCAAGTAAAATTGCAGAAGCCTGTTTGAATCTTTTGTGGTAATACATTGAATTACAAACAATCGTGCGTTGTACGAAAGAAATTTCAGTAATGTCACTTTTTTTGTAAACAACACCTATATATCTGATCACATCCTACTTGGAACGTGCTTGCTTCTCTTGTTCGTAAAGGCGAAGCATTGACTATCGTTTTTTTTTGGAAGAAAAAGGAACGAGAGGAAGAGAGCAAGAAGAAAAACAAACAAAAATATGAATAAACAAAAGGAAGAATAGACATTAAATGGCTAATTTACAAGAGCCAATTTAGAAAAAGCAATTTTAACATCGAGATAAATATTTAATGTTATTGAATGTATGAGCTGATATCAGATGACAATCATATGTGAGTGGAAAAGAGCGAATGCTCTGAAAAGAATTTTATGCAAATCACTTTTCAAATGGAAGTTAAGATGGCTTTTACAAAGGCAGCATATATTCTGAGTTAAAGACAAAGTTGACTAGTATGGCACTTCCAACATTTATAAAATGGCTCCATATCGGTAAAATATAACTCCCAAATGAAATTTGCATTTCAATACCCTCATTAAAAATTAGTTCAAACCAACACGGTCGATCTATATACATTATTATCACACATCGAAGTCGAAACTGACAACGTGAAAAGAAAGATTGCCGTATAGAAAATCGAAACAAAAATTCAATAAGATAAATAGAAAGTCGCCGAATGTTATTCACAACATTTATTATGATTGCAATAAATTAAACGTCATTTGATCTTCAGCCATAATGTAAGAAAATTGATTTGCATGTTGAACGAACAACTGACTGTCGCATGTGTTTTGCATTCGTTTTTTTTTTATTTCAATTGATGCCTAATGTATTTTCATCATTCAATTTATACATTTCGTACTACCGCAAACATTTCATCGCATCTTTTTTTCGTACACATGAATCGATTTGAATTATTTTAACATTACCGCTTCACACACAGACGATGTTCATAATAATTTGCCAAGAATTTATTTTTGGCCGAAACGAATAAAAAAAATATATACACACAATTTATGTTTACATAAAACCTCGACGAAAAAAAAAGTGTTGAGAACTTGTGAAAATGTAAACGATCTGACTGAAAAAATGGCCACTAATTGAATTAAATAAATATTACCATATGAACAATTTTAGTGATGAGATTGAGAAGAGCGAGTGTCGATTTTTATTGACCGTTAGTTTTGACTTTATGACGATATTTAATTTGTGATTTTTAATGACTATTGAACATTTTTCAAACTAATACAAAACAATCGTAGAAAAATATACAGCAGACAATCAATTCGAGATCATGAACTTGTCTGGCAAATTAACACTGAACAGAGATTCAATTCTGAAACTCACTCTCGCACCTTCACAGTATTCTGTTATATTTTGTTCATTATCAATCATTTAACCCTTTCGGTCTCATTTTTCACTGAACTGAAAGTTGCTGACATCCCAATTTTGAAGCGTACAAAACGACAGTGACCGGTTCGCGCATATTTCTATACTTGCCTGAATACGCTAGGTAGCATAGATATGCCAAGCATAGCCGCAAACGCAACCGACGCATCGCCGTTCACTCTATATGAACAATACACATGTTCGTTTATGCAGACGACCGTGCGCATACAATATAGCTCGAATCGAATGGTGACGGGTGCGTTGCGGCTTGCGTCTCCGCTATGCTTAGCATAGCTATCAGGCATAGAAATATGCGCGAACCGGTCACTGCAAAACGAAACACAAATTATTTTCATATATACTTATAGCTTCAATTTGAAATTCCGTTTCGATGCGGTCTTAGACAGCAGAGGGTTAACAATATTCGATATTCTCTGATGAAAATTTCCGACATTATTTACCTTTGCAGGATATTATCAATCAAATTACTCTATCAGAGGTTTTCACTAAAATGCTTGCTTTGAGAAATCGGAAATGGGAGCCGGTAAATTAATAAGAGTAAAAGTGCAATCAGGATGATGAGAACAAGCAATAGGCAATTGTAAAGCAAGCAGAATCTTGTAAACAAACACATTTATTTAGAGTGTGCCTGTTATCTGTACCATGAGTGTCTATGAAAAATCGTTTATATTGTGCTTGTGGGAAAATAGAAAAAAAAAACTCTCAAACCGAAAGCGTATTTTAATGTAATCTTAATTGCACTGATTGCACTTACTTTTCTTTTGACACATTATTATTGAACTTGGAAAAGAATATATACCAAACCCCCTTTCAATATCATCATAGCATTGAAACTGGTTACTAGAAAATCCTGAGTAAATAATGGCGGAGTATAACGTTTTTCTTTCAAATAATGTTGAAAATGACAGCTGTCTACCTGCCAACCCATCATCATTTACCGTTAGACCTTTGTGCTCTTCGCACCGAAACACGAGAATCGATGTCCAAACTAAAAAGTATGAACGCATTAAAAAGTTGAAGCTAATAATTTGCAATACAGTGAAAAGATTATTTGGCTCATTCTCATCCAAACACAAAACGATCATAATAATTTTTCATTCAAGATTTTTGCGATTTATTGATACTGACAGTTCGCAATGTTTTTGTTTCTGCTCGTTTTTGTATACTTTTTATGCATATGTGCTTTTATATATTTAATTTCATTATGGGATTCAAGTGAATGTTTTGCTGAAGATGATGACGACGCCGAAGTCGAAACAGTAGAACTTGAAGAGATACGAGTACGATATTAAGTGCAAATAAAGGTACACACATCGAAGATGCAAAATTAGACAAAATATAGAGAAAACACTCTCGTTAGCACGGCGATTAATGTTTACAGTTAGCGAGTATCGTTGTCATCGTCGTCATCGTTGTGTAATTTTGTTCATTCGTGAAATAAGTTTATTCAACGAAGACTAAAGAAACAATTATTGATTGGATTATCAGTACAATTGTTACAGCAAAATAAGTTTGTAGAAAAACGAAACGTCATCAATTTGAACTGAAAAGCAGACAGACACATTTATATTCGTGATCCTCTCTGTCCTTAAGCTATATACTCGCGAGAACAATAACGTTATTGAAACTTAATTATCAAGCAATGAAATAACAATTTAAACGAACAATTTCGTTCTTAAATGAGTGAAATTAATTTTTAATCAATGCTAATTTTTTTTTTATTCTCTATTTTCTTCTTTTTCTTTCTATAACTATACAAAATTGATTGTCGATGATGCGGTCGTATGAAACACGTGCTGCACGATTTGGTGTGAATTTCGATATATAGACGTTGCCAGTGATTGACGAACTATGGAAAATAATATACAGCGAAATGGGGAACCGGAACCAAAAGGTCCACCGCCCGTACCGATTACAAAAACCAATGCCACTCCGACATCAAATAATCTGGGATCGAACAATACAGTGAAAAAAGACAAACGGATGAATAGCTCGCGTTTCAACATATCAAAAAATCGTGAATTAATACCATTGCCACGACTAGCCGGTAAGTATTTTGGCATCATATGGTCATTTGATATATGCAAAACAGACTGCATAATTCATTTACAAAATTTTATGGTTCTCGTTTTATTATGTTTGCTTGCAGAGGTATCGGCCGCAGAACGTGAAGATCTCTTCATACAGAAATTGCGACAATGTTGTGTTTTATTCGATTTTACTGAGCCGCTAAGCGATTTAAAGTGGAAAGAAGTGAAAAGAACCGCCTTGCACGAAATGGTCGAATACCTGACCAACGAGCACAATGTTATTACGGAAAAAATCTATCCGGAGGCTATAAATATGGTGATTATCACTTCTATTGCAGTTATTTTTCTTTCTAATTTTTTTATGACATTCATCATGAATGAATTGGTGTTTACATTAGTATGCGTATTTTCATTTGTTTTCTTTTTTTATTGATTTGCTCTTTTTACATCTCTCGTTTTAGTTCTCAATAAATTTGTTCCGAACGTTGCCACCATCTTCCAATCCAAATGGTGCCGAATTCGATCCAGAAGAGGATGAACCTACTTTGGAAGCGAGTTGGCCACATTTACAATTGATTTATGAACTGTTTTTACGATTCTTAGAATCGCCTGACTTTCAACCAACTATTGCGAAACGTTTCATTGATCAACAATTTTTGCTGCAACTATTGGATTTGTTCGATTCAGAAGATCCACGCGAACGTGACTTCTTGAAAACAGTTTTGCATCGTATCTACGGAAAATTTCTAGCATTACGTACATTTATTAGGAAACAAATTAACAATGTGTTCTACAGGTAAGCGTTTGTGTTTGTATGTAGGCGGAAATCATAGTCGAACGGTCTGAATTAAGGCAGTTTTTCATTACAGATTCATTTATGAAACGGAACACCACAACGGCATAGCCGAGTTGTTGGAAATTTTAGGTAGCATTATAAATGGTTTCGCGTTGCCGTTAAAAGAGGAGCACAAACAGTTTTTGTTGAAAGTGCTATTGCCGTTGCATAAAGTGAAAAGTTTATCGGTTTATCATCCGCAGTTAACGTACTGTGTCGTACAGTTCCTTGAAAAGGACCCGAATCTAACGGAGCCGGTTATTAAAAGCCTGTTAAAATTCTGGCCAAAGACACACAGTCCGAAAGAGGTGATGTTTTTAAATGAATTGGAAGAAATTCTTGATGTCATTGAGCCGGCCGAATTTCAAAAAGTCATGGAACCATTATTTCGTCAAATCGCAAAATGTGTATCGAGTCCACACTTTCAAGTGGCCGAACGTGCCCTGTACTATTGGAATAATGAATATATTATGTCATTAATTACGGAAAATTCAACGGTCATTTTGCCAATTATGTTTCCATCATTGTACCGCAACTCAAAAACACACTGGAACAAAACCATCCATGGTTTAATCTACAATGCGCTCAAATTATTCATGGAAATGAATCAAAAGTTGTTCGATGAATGCAACACAAATTTTAAACAGGAACGAGAAATGTAAGTTTTCCATTCAATGTGATTGTTATTATTGCGGTTAATGTAAAGCTATTATCATTTTGCCCTTGGTGGTGTCATGATGATGCGGAAATATAATTACTTGTGCATAAATGTTGTTTATTTTTCTTCGATATCATTAGGGAAAATGAAAAGCTATCACACAGAGAAGTGGTCTGGCAACACGTGGAAAATCTTGCTAAAACAAAAACTGATTGGATGAAAAATACAGGCAAGTGAAAAATTTGATTATCGTTCATTTGTTATTTTTACTACGTTCACGTATTGGTTGAATTGATGATGATGTGTAAAATAAATGTTGATATTCTGTTATTTTCAGATGGCGATACTCGATACAATTATATGGACTACGAACGCGGTGAGGTAATACACTAGATTGCCCTGTGTAAATTCGATGTAATAGTTTTAGATTGACAATGCAGACGAACATCCATTTGCAACAAAAAAACACACACACACAAACACACAGAACCGATAAAATCAACTCTTTCATCGATTAGTCATTTTGCAAAGCATTTCCATTTTTTGATTAGACAGAAAAATCGTATCACGTAGTTGAAAGCATCTTCCGCTTTTCTTCCACCCACCCCCACAACCACCTCTTTCTTCTTGTTATTCTTCTTCTTCTACTTCATTGTCATTATACAGTTGTGTTTAAGCGAAACTATACTCTTCCCTCATCATCCAAATACGAATGCAATCTACAAAATTTCTCCCACCCCCCAAAAACACAAGTGATGAATTGATTGACAATGCTGTTGATTGCTGGTGTAATTTGATTGTATGATTTTTTAGATGAATAATATGCGAAACAAGGATAAACCGTTGCTGCGAACCAAATCCGAACTACCACACAATTGCGAAACAATTCAAGCATTACAAGATCATAAGCGTGCTGATGAATTTTTGAAAACAACCAATGATGAAAATAAGTGTTGAATATGTATGTATTGGTGTATCATATATCCTCCCATCAATATTTCAATGGAAATGACTTTGTTTGCAGGTTGAAATAGCGCATAGACATCATAACAAAACTAGAAAGTGTCCATTTAAAATTTTTACCAAATTTTCAAGCGATAATGATTTGATATGAATATGACACATTTAAGGAAAACAAAACTTCAAATAAAAATTTGACGCGAACAATAAACATATACACACAGAGTTCACTACAAATTTTGATCGAATATTAATCTACATGGATATTGTTGTCTCAAAATAAACAAAAACCAACTGAATTGAAAAATGTTGAGAGAAAAAAATGAATACAAACAGACACATAGATCAGTTTTATCGATGGATTGAATATAATATTTACAAATAAACATAGCGTTAGTTATAATTTCTTATTGAACAGAAAAATTCAGATATTTATAAACTGTAAATGAAAAAAAGAAAAGAAAAAAAGCACAACCACACAGAGATAAAATATTTCATACAGGACTTATGGACAATTCGATTTAGATATCATTTATTGTACCCGATATATACATAACTTTTAAACGAAATCGCTGTATTGAAATGCATAAAAAAATAAGAGTTCTGTGTGAATTGATACATACATATATGTATGTATGTATGCATGAGGATAAATCATAAAAAAAATCCAGCATCCAACATTTCCTAATATAAAAAATGCACCTTCTTTGAATGCAGTGAACTGAACAAAAGTCATCTATGCATGTGTAAACAATGAAAAGTCTTTATATGTTCATATTTTTCACCAAATTTAAATTGTATCAGATGACTTCAACATTAATGTGCTGAAATGAAAACTAGAGAAGAATTTAAAAATATCGAAATACAAATGAACAAATTTTTCATTTTGCAAGCAAATTAAATGCTCTTAATTTGGTGTTTAAAACAATTTGTAGTGCGTGCGTTTCAACCGCAGAAATTCTAATTCATCCAATTCATTAATTCATCCATTTTTGTTTTATATACATATAAAACTTGTGTAAAATGATGTACTTTATAACACACAGACAGATGGTCTGCAAGAGAAAATAGACATAAATATGAACTTAAACTTATGGAACCATTATACAAAACGAAAGAAGAGAAAAGAAAATGATGATGAGAAATAAAAAGACGATTGACTTTTAAATAATATTCTAATGATTTACAGACAGAAAAATCAGGTACATTGAGATAAAATACGTTTCGTTCAATCGTTTCAATGAAAGAGGCAGCAAAGCAAGTTAAAAGTGTGATGGCAGCAAATCAATTTATCCTTAAAAAAAACTTTCTCACATACGCAAAAAAGAAAACAGTGAATACACACACTTTTTTTTTATTTTTCCATGTTTAATTGTTAAGTTATTTTAAGAAATGCCCACAAAATATTTCGATTTAAAAAATCGAAGCAAAAAATTGGCAAATATTTGCGATCGTTTCTGTTAAGTTGAAAACACACACAAAAAAATATATTACATTTTTAAGCAAAAAAAAAAAAAAATTGAAATTACTTGTTATTGAAAAATTAAAAAAAAAATAAAATTTTGGAACTTAAATGGATAACAGATGGAATAGTGTCCCACAAATGGGGAACTAAATTTTTAATTTAAATGTTTTCTGTATATATTTAATTGAAACAAAATAAAAGGTTCTATATTGAAGAGCGTATTTCATAATGTAAGTCTATATCGTAAGACAGAGGAAGAAAACAGTTAAATGTGTTTTCATATATATTATATTTCGTAAGTGAAAGATATTATACGGATGAAAGAAACAAACAAAAATATACAAAGAGAACATGAATGAAGCAAATTGTGAATTTGTATATCAATCTTGTTGTTATTATTATTATTATTATTATTTTATTTAGCAAAATACTCCAGGTGCATCTGAAAGACGTGAAAGACAATCAAAGTAATTGGCACATTTGAATGTAATGGTTAGACTGAGTCGAAGGTTGTTGCTTCATTTTAAAAGTGCATCTCGTAATTTCTGGAATAGAAAATGCGCCGAAGTAAAACAAAATTAAACGATAACGGATATTACTGGTTACAATGTCAGACTGCTGTATATTCATCAATTCGGTTTATTTCTTCATAAATAAAAATCAAGTTCTAACGGTCCGATCGAACCAGTTGAAAGAAGAAACATTTTATGATATGAATTGTAAGTCGCGTAAAAAAATGAATTGTTTCTATCGCAAGGTTTATGCTAATTAATGAAATCACTAAATGAAACTGGTTTTTAACATCTGCCTATATGCATTTGGTTCGAGAACACTACATTCCGTTCAATTTGATGTGTTAATGTTATTCATGTTATGCTGTCAATGTCGTGCAGGGCCTCATACACGATTGGCTGAAGTTGAGGTTATGTTTGACATGTCACGCAATTTGACATTTTTTATCGTTTCGCATAGTAAACGACGCCTCTTGCAGCTTTGTATCGATTCACTTAAATTGAAACACCGTCATTATTTCCGAGCGTCTCATAACATTGATTTCCACATAAATTTACTGCAGCAATCGAATCTACAGCGATTAATGTGAGTTTTTATATATTTTTGTAAAATAAGTTGTGATTTTTATATTCAAAATATATGCTCCAAATGAAGAAAATACCGTGATATGCTTTCTTTTTAGTAAATTCTCCATTTTGAAAAATTTTTGTTGCTAATTTTAGACACAATTATCCAGTTTGGTTGGATAGCATAGTTAATGATCAAAAGGCGGCGAACAGTATCAAGTGATTGCCTAGAGGAAACAATGGAAGAAAGCGTTTTAGAACAATCACCGACAACAGTGTCGACACGCAAACGAAAGCGTCTAGATCCGGTATGTATTCTTGTTTGTCTTATTTGAATTGAGCAAAATAGTAATGAAAAAACAAATCGTCTTATCTGTTTACTACAGATGGAAATGTGCCAGCAGCTATATGACTCATTGCGAGCCATCAAAAAGTCCGACGGTACAATGCTTTGTGACACCTTTGTACGTGCACCAAAACGGCGCCAAGAGCCCAGTTACTACGATGTCGTTGACAACCCAATCGATTTACTGCGCGTCCAACAAAAATTAAAAACCGAATCATACGAAGATGTTGAAGACTTAACCACTGACTTGGACCTATTGGTAAATAATTCAAAGGCATTTTATAAGCCCGATTCAATTGAGCATCAAGATGCATGTTTGCTTTGGGATACGTATCAAGCAAACAAAGCCAAATTGCTTGAATCAAATGTGGGTGGCGATGATGAGCCAAGCAGCAAAGTGAAAAAAATTGGACGTCCAAGAAAATCGGCACTTGACAACGATGATCAGATATCGGAAACGTCATCCAAGGCAACCGACGAAGATATTGAAAATTATGAGGAATTATTCGCGTCGGTGATGACAGCAACCGACGATAATAGTCGCCCATTAAATTTAATGTTCCAACTATTACCATCGAAACGTGAATATCCGGATTATTATGACATCATCGAACATCCAATCGATCTGAAATTTATCGCTACAAAAATTCAAACAAACGCCTACATCACGTTGGCCGACATGGAGAAGGATTTGCTGCAAATGACAAAAAATGCATGCGTATTCAATGAACCCGGTTCACAAATCTACAAAGATGCAAAAACGTTGAAGAAGGTAAACAAATACAGCTTATTGTGTTACAAGGCAATTCTAAATTTGTATAAATTTGTACAGATATTCACAGCGAAACGAGCTGAAATCGAGTCGGGAAAGTGTAAACCGCGTGAAAATAAGACACGCAAACGTGGACAAAGTTTAAGTGCAATGGTGGCTGCGCTAAAGGAACCAGTTGAAGATTCTGAAGAAGAAAACGATGAGAATGTGGAAACAGATGGTGACGGTCCACTTTGGAAACTCTTTGATCAACTTTATAATGCCCCCAACTCAACAGGTATGTCAACGAATTTGTCGCTAACCCATACTAAACTCCGAATACATCAATAACAGAAACAATTTATTAAAATAGAGTGTAGTGTAGTGTGTCTATTAATTTACCGAACTAACAGCTTGCATTTGAATGTTTTGTGTTTATTGTCCATGTTTCCTTATTTCGTTATTTTTTGTGTGTTTTCTTCCAACGTTTGTTCTTTGTTCGAATATAAAATAAACTGATGTCAGAAAATCCCAATGCCCCAGGATCATCACTTGGCGAATCAATGTGGAAACTACCAAATCGACGATTCCATCCGGAATATTATTTCACCATAACCAAACCAATTTCTATGGCGCAGATTCGTAATAAATTGAAGAAGGGCGATTACGCAAACATCGACGATTTAACATCCGATTTATATTTGATGGTTAACAATGCGAAAAAAGCATTCCCGCCGACACATAAAGTGCATCGAGACGCTGTAAAAATGCTTAAACTACTCAATATGAAATTAAACGATGCATCTGGTGACGATGACAGTGACGAGGATGAAGAAGAGTCCACAACAAATTCATCAACTCAGTCCCTTTCAAAAAAGAAACCAAAACCAAGAGTGACCTCAACATCGCCCGCCGGTTCGTCGCTTAATATAACAAGCAGTTCACCGAACATTACAACCGGCATCAGTCCGAAATGCAAATTCCCAAACAATCCAATTCTAAAGAAGAAATTGCTGAATTTACAGAAATTTTTATCGGAATACACAGTAAATTGAAGATTTTAATTTTGTATTTGTTTTGCAGTTTGATTTGAATTTGATTAGTAAACATTTGGTGTTTCCTTTTGCAGCTGGATGGCAGACGACCAATGACTTTGTTCATGGAGAAACCATCGAAACGACAGTACCCCGATTACTATGATATCATTCAACATCCAATCGATATGGTGACCATACGATACAACATCGAAGCGGATAAGTATGGTACTTTGGATGATGTTGTCGGCGATTTTCGTTTGATGTTCGCCAATTGTCGCAAGTACAACGAAGAAGGTTCACAAATTTACGAAGATGCAAACATTCTGGAACGTGCTCTCAACGAAAAACTTAAAGAATTCTCTGGTATCAATGATCGTCGACTAACACCGAAAATGTAAGCAAATAATCAATTTTCGTTTTATTAAAAATTCGAGCAAAGACGTTGTATTGATGAGTTTATTCTACTAATACAGAATCAAAGGTGGTCGCAAACAAATATCCCCAATGGACACTAAACTTCGTCAATTGTATGATGCCATTCGAGACTATCGTGAACCGAAAGCAAATCGTCAGTTGGCCTTGATCTTCATGAAGTTGCCATCGAAAAGCGTAAGAAATCTCCATTTTATCTCATGGATCTCTTTAATTTTTCCGTTAAAAACATAAGTTTTCGTTAAATTTTCAATCAAATATTCATGAATAGAATCTTTATTTGTTCCGTAGGATTATCCCGATTACTACGATATTATCAAGAATCCAATCGATATGGAAAAAATTGCGCATCGTCTCAAACAACAATTCTATGATAATATCGATGAAATTGCTGCTGATTTCATGTTGATGTTTGAAAATGCATGCAAATACAATGAGCCTGATTCGCAAATTTACAAAGATGCATTGTTGTTGCAGCAAATATGTATTCAGACCAAACAACAATTACGTGATGGTGACGATTCGGTTCCAGATGTACCGCAAGCTGTCCAAGAATTACTATTGTCCTTATTCACAACATTTTATAACCATCAAGATGAAGAGGGTCGTTGTTTCTCCGATTCACTTGCTGAATTACCCGAATACGACGAAGTTGATGGTATTAAAACGCGAGCCATTTCATTGGATTTGATTAAGCGTCGTTTAGATAAAGGGCTTTACAAGCGATTGGATACATTCCAAGAGGATGTGTTCACTTGTTTGGATCGGGCACGTAGATTGTCACGCACCGATTCGCAAATATTTGAAGACTCCATTGAATTACAGTCGTTTTTTATTCGTAAACGTGACGAAGCTTGTAAAGATGTACTTACATCACCAGCTCTCAGCTATACTGCCATGCATTTGAGCGCTTCCGTCGAGGCAGTACGACAAACAAAACTATTGCAAGAAGAACAAGAACAGGAACAAGAGAATGATATGGTGAGCAATTAAAAAATGAAACATTTATTCATTATCATCTTATTTGATTTTTATCCATTTGTTAGGCAATGCACGGTGAAAGCATGACAATCGACCAAAAAGTGTATTCGCCCGGAGATTTTGCCTATTACGATGTGCCAGAGAATAAACGTAAGCGAAAAACTTTTATTTTACACTCGACAGATTCAATAAATTCAAAGCAAATATATCGAATAACACTCGAAAATCGTTTTGATTTTAGTTCCTGGCGTTATTTACATTGAACGTTTATGGACGAATCAAGAAGGCATTCAAATGATGTACGGTAACATTTTCTTACGACCATTTGAAACGTATCATGTTACAACACGCAAATTCTTGGAACAAGAACTATTTAAAAGCGATCAACATGAAGCGATGCCATTGAGCCGTTTAGGCAACAAATGTTTTGTCATGAGTGCCAAGGACTATTTTAAGCAGAAGCCCGATGAATACACGGATAAAGACATTTTTGTTTGCGAATCACGTTATTCAACAAAATTGCGGGCATTCAAGAAGATTAAGAACTGGCCATTTATGAACACGACACCGTTAGTTCAACGTGACACACCACTCGAGCCGAAACGTGTCATGTCCGTTTTTAAAGAACGCGTGGAAAAACATAAAGGCGAATTGGCCGAATTGCAACTTCAAGAGGCACTCATTGAGAAAGAGAAACCAGTAAGTTTTAAACACGATCAAAAAAACCTGTCAATATTCTAATCTCATTGAATTTTTATTTCTACAGAATATCTTGGCTTTATCACCAGCATCAACTGATGATGGTAATAATTACTATGAACAATACAACATTGTAGGTAATGGTGTTATCAAAAGCGGAGATTTTGTATACGTTGCCACTGACACGGGAAAACAGTCAATCGCACAAGTGCAAAGCATTTGGGACACAAAAGAGTAAGTTTCGAATAAGAATTGAATTTAAAACGGGACATGCCATTATTTTTCCTCCCTCCTTTTCAGTGGAAAGTCATACATCAAAGGACCATGGCTTCTTTTGCCTCCGGAAGTGCCCGGAACGGCAAATCGTTTCTTTTATCGCCAAGAACTGATGCTGTCAACAACACAAGATATCAGTCCAACCATTGCTGTGGTCGGTCGATGTGCTGTTTTGGAGTATAGCGAATATATCTCGTGTGAGTAATCAAATTCGTCAAAAGTTTTTTTTTTTAAATAAAGAATTGACTAAATGATATGTAATTTAACCTATATGTGAAACACAGTACGTCCAACTGAAATCCCAGAGAGTGATGTTTATGTATGTGAGTCAACATATGACGAAAGCAAAAAGCAAATTCGAAAAAATGTGCAAGGTCAAGGTTTGCGAAAATTTACGCACAGTCAACTTGTGACACCCGATGAAATTTATCATTTGAAAAACTTAATAACACCGATCAAGGTAATTTCAAGAAAAAATCAACACTTTAAAAAAAGTATAAACCATTCATTTTTGGTACATAGGTGAGTGCAACTGAAATAGCTGCCTTAGAACAAGTCAAAGTCAACAACGATCCAGATATAAAAGCTGAAAATGTCGATGTGCTTGCACTCAATGAAGATTCAATTGATGTCCCTGACTTGCCCACAACAATCGCCGAAGTAGTGCCAGTGTCATCATCATCAGCGAGCACAAATTTGAGCACACCAGTATCGACAAAAAGGCCGAAATACAAAGGCAAACTTGTTACTGGTTACATTGTTTATTCGAGTGAAGTACGTAAAGATCGTGCGGCAAACAATCCCGACTGTACATTCGGTGACATTTCACGAATGGTCGGCAATGAATGGCGAAATATGTCAGCACAAGAGAAACAATATTGGGAAGAAAAGGCGTCACGATCAAATGAGGAGAGTGCTGCTAAATACGCTGAAGAACATGGTTGCTCGAGCCCAGTCCCACAACCACAAACGTTCCAGTCATTCTTAACCGCTGAGCCAGTGCCAAATCAAGTGTTCGAATGCTGTTGGGACACATGTGACTATCAATTCGAAGATCCAATCGATTGTGTTGAACATTGTATCTCTGAGGGTCATGGTCATGTTAGCAACTATTACAAAGAACCGCCACGAGCGAAAACCGGCGAAATCGATTTTACATGTATGTGGCGAAATTGCATTCGTAAGATAAAAAAGAACACCATTCCATTTACACACTTGCAACGTTTGCTAAAGCATGTTCGTGAAGTGCATATCATCAAATGTGGTCGAATTGTCTTGCCACAAGATCGCAGCAAGTATGTATTCTTATTTGATTTGTTTATTATTGTTTTTTTTTTTCAAAATAATATTTACTTATCTATTGTTTTCAATAGAAATTTTGTCGCATCGAAGAAAAACCAGACACTTACACCACAAACACCAACAGCAAACAATCAAAATGCTTCGCCAGCAACAAATAATACAATCTTGGCATCACCCATTCAACAGCAACAACAACAACCAGCTCAAACTGTTCAAGGTATGTATAGCATCGATGGCTTCTTGAATCATCAACGTGACGTTGAAATTCATTTGCATCCTCTTTTCTTCCCATTTTCAGTCTTATCATCACCAGCAGCTGAACCTCTATTTGTAACCGTCCCACCGAGACCACAACGAGTTTTACATTCAGAAGCATACATCAAGTACATCGAAGGCCTTCAAAACGAATCTCGTTTCGTGACTCCGTGGGAAAAATCACTAAAGGCCACTAGAGAGAGTATACCATCTATCGATCCAACCAAACTTCCTATGTACTGGCTAGGACCAAAATCGCCAGAAAAATCAGCTGATGCCATTGACGAACTATGGAAACTTCGCAATTATATGATGAAAGACATTGTAACAATAACCAATGTCATTCATCCATCCAATTATTGATAACTTTTTTTTACTTTCAATGCTTAAAAGTAGTTTCATAGATTTTGTTTTTCACAAAATACAAATACAATCAAACAGTTCAACGAGACGAACAGTACACATTTTGCAAATTAGGTTTATGATTATATTTTGTTAGAAAATATGTAGAAAATGGCACTCAAATAAAGTAAAACCTTGATACACAATAATAATATATGTATACATTTTACATTTTTTCAATTGAATAAATAGTATTTGGAATTATACGTTATTATATTTAAATACAAAGTTTGCAATCAATAACCACTTAAGTCCATATATTTAAATTGCTGAATTTAAAAATACTCAACGAAGTAAGAAATGTCATACAAAAGACAGTGACATTTGTAAACGATTAAGTTCATCTACACGAGTGCGAACTAAACTTGGGTTTGTTGAACCATACCATTTCATTCTAAAAAGTATCCTTCCTAGTTTATTATTTGGTAAAACACAAAACAGCTAAAATGGGAGAACGCAAAGGACAAAACAAATATTATCCACCGGATTACGATCCTCGAGCCGGTGGTCTCAATAAATTTCTTGGCACCCATGCCTTGCGTGAACGGGCTCGTAAGATTCATTTGGGCATTATTATCATTCGTTTTGAAATGCCATACAATATTTGGTGTGAAGGGTGCAAAAATCACATTGGAATGGGTGTGAGATACAATGCTGAAAAAACAAAAGTTGGAATGTACTTTTCGACGCCCGTCTATCAATTCAAAATGAAATGCCATTTATGCGAAAATTACATTGTGATAAAAACCGATCCGGGAAATTTGGATTATGAAATTGTATCTGGTGCGCGTCGACAAGAAGGTCGATGGGATCCAACCGAAAATGGCCAGGTTGTGCCTGATACAAAAGAAACACAGCGACGACTATTTGATGATCCGATGTATAAATTAGAGCATCAAGCGTCTGACTTGAAGAAAAGTGATGATGCAAAACCTGCCATTTTCAAACTGTACGAAAGAAATCACTATGTTTGGGACGACGATTATACAGCCAATAGTCGACTTCGGGCGGAATTCCGAAATAAAAAAAAGGAACTGAAATCGGAGGCAGACAAAGATAAAGCACTGCTCCTCAAATCTAGTCTTGACATTGAATTATTGCCCGAGAACGATCAAGACGCACGCTTGGCAGCTATGATGAAATTACATTCTGAACGAGTAATCAATGAAAAAGATCGAAAAAATGAAGTGATTAATAAACCTGCGCTACCAGCAATTAAGGCCATCAGTAGCTTGAGAAGCCAACGATTGTTGAATTCAAAATTAAGTAAAAATGATTTAGGTATCAAACGAAAGACTTCCGATAGTTGTGAAAGTTTGGCGAAAATAATCAAACCAACAGAAACCATCACAAGCAATGATACGCCGGAAAAGTTGGGAGAGAGTTCATCGCATTCAAACGAGGCGACACAAGAAAAAGAGTCAACCAAAACTACCAAAAGAAATCACATGGATGATAAATCAACAGACAATGGTTCTACCAAAGTATCATCGTCACTCAGTTTAGTTTGTAATTATAGCAGTAATTCAAGTTCTGATGATGAGGAAGCAACGTAGTGTATAAATGATATGTATTCCAGCAATAAAAATTGATAATTATTAAAAAAAAAACCTTTTTCATTTATTTTCCATAAGATACACAATATCAAGAAAAAAATGTAAACAAATAATTGAAATGTTTGTAAGAATAGAGAAAGAGAGAGAGAGAATGTGAGAGAAATCTGAAAAATTAAGTACTGAATTACAAAATACTCATAAAAGTGCTTGCTTCGTTTTTATTTTAATATATTTTATTGCGCATTTGTTTCCTGGTTTTTTTTCTTCAATCTTTTGAATAATACGATTTTGTTTTTTTTTAATTGATTTCAAATGTCTTGAAAAAATTTAACAATAATACATTGTTTTTTTTTAAATAAAACCAAAGTACTTTGCATACTTAACGCGTTGAATTCAGCATATTTATTTACTAAACAAACAAAGGTCGATTAGAATTCTATGGGCAAGTGACGTGTAAGAGGTGACCAAAACCATTAATTTGACAATACGGGTAAACGCCTGTCGAGCTAAAGCTTCTTATCAACGTCAAAATAAACACATACATCTAGCAAACAATTTTTGGCCAATAATTTTTATACCATTATCGTATGTTTCATATTGAGTAAGTGCGGCGTATTGAAAACAAGCAAAGAACAAATAAAATAGCTTATCGACTTGTGTACGTGTCATAGAGAAAACTTTGTATTTCGCTCATTATTTTATAGAATTTGTTAATAAAAAGCATATTTTGTCTACTGCAAACTATAAATTTAGATGTAATTTCGCGGAAAATTAAAAATCGTGCTTGTGTTATATTTTATAGTGTTATTTCTATTGAATTTGTCGAAACATTTTTTTAACAGTACACTACGAGAGTATTTAAATATACACAATGGGTGCATCGACGAATAATTTGGTTTCAAAGAATACGCGAGCATTGATTTTGGTCGGTGGGTATGGTACACGCTTGAGACCATTAACATTGAGTCGGCCAAAGCCACTGGTTGAGTTCAGCAATAAGCCAATTTTAATGCACCAAATCGAAGCACTTGTAGAAGCGGGCGTTAAACAAGTGATTTTGGCCGTTTCATATCGCGCCGAACAAATGGAATTGCAGTTGAAAAAAGAAAGTGAAAAACTTGGAGTTGATATAGTTTTCTCGCACGAAACTGAACCACTAGGAACGGCCGGACCGATAGCATTAGCACGAGACCTATTAACCTCAAGCGATGAACCATTTTTCGTTCTCAATTCGGATGTGATATGTGATTTTCCATTTCGCGAACTCGAAGCATTCCATCGTAATCATGGCCAAGAAGGAACAATTGTTGTAACAAAAGTCGAAGAACCATCGAAGTATGGCGTTGTTTTGTATAACGAGGCTGGATGTATTCAAGATTTCATCGAAAAACCACAGGAATTTATCAGCAATAAAATCAATGCCGGTTAGTTTCATAAAAACTTACATTTTAAATCGATGAGTTCATGGATTTTATTTAATTCAACAGGAATATACATTTTCAATCCATCTGTCTTGAGTAGAATTGAAATAAAACCGACATCTATTGAGAAAGAAGTGTTTCCCGTAATGGCGAAAGAACAGCAATTGTACGCATTCATTTTTATGGCTACTTTGATCATTTTCATTTTTTTTCTTTGTATATTTGCCATAGGTACGCATTTGAATTGCCCAATTTTTGGATGGATATCGGCCAACCTAAAGACTTCCTAACTGGTATGATTCGTTGCGGAGAATGTTGAAAACGATTCATAAACATGACTAAAATTGTTTATTTTTTATTTACATATTCTTTAGGTATGTGTCTGTATTTGAATTCCTTACGCCAGAAAAATTCGAACGCACTTTACCAATGTGGGGCCGAAAAACGAACCATTGTCGGAAATGTGTTGGTGCATCCAACAGCAACAATTGGAGTGGGCTGTAGAATAGGACCAAATGTAACCATTGGACCAAATTGTGTGATTGAAGACGGTAATAATTAACTGAATCTGCTCAAAATAATGAAAATTCAAAATAATCAGAAAACATTTATATTTCCACTAGGTGCTTGTATAAAACGTTCAACAATATTGGAAGGCGCCATAATCAAAAGTCATGCATGGCTCGATAGTTGTATAGTTGGTTGGCGCTCAACTGTTGGCCGCTGGGTACGCATTCATTTTTATGGCTACTTTGATGATTTTCATGTTTTTTCTTTGTAATTTTGCCATAGGTACGCATGGAAGGTACGACGGTACTTGGTGAGGATGTCATTGTTAAAGATGAAATTTATATAAATGGCGGCCAGGTTCTTCCTCACAAAAGTATACAGTCCAGTGTTCCAGAACCACAAATTATTATGTAATTCGTATTCTTTAGGCTAAATTAAAATAAACATACACGATTTACAACAAACAGAGATTTTTTTCTCAATCTTTATGAAAACCAAATGTCACAACAAACAACATCCCATTTTTATACGTTTTCGTTTTAAGAATAGAATTCACAAATGCAAGATTAAGTTCGATTTTATGATGAGTTTTATTAAAATATATAAGCTATTGCTACTTTTGCTCGAGAAAAGTGTTTCGACTTTATTTTATTCATTTTCTCCAAATTTAATCTAATAACAGAAACGAGTTTATTCTTAATCCTTTGACATTGGTGTTTTAGTTTTGTTATTCAAAAATCTATACAAATATTTGATACGTTTGTTAAGATCACGCCATTTTGAAGGTCTCGCTATTGGATACTCCGATCCTTTGAAGATATTACGTTTCCGTATCAACATTTTAAATTCACCACCTTTGGCGCCTCGTATCCATGCTGGCAGATTGTATAATATACGGGTCGGGTGCAAATTGTCATTACCGAGAATATCTATGTAATCATTTTGCCCGAATAACGCTCGTTTCTCATTCCACACATTTTTTGGCCTAAGTGTTAAAAAGTCATATTTTAGTGTTACATCACATAACAACAATTGCATTTCCATTGCACTTACTTATATTGTGGAAACGGTAGGACTCTCTTGTCACTATAATGTGGCAATAAACCGCTACGAGCCAGTTTGTCGAAGTATCCATAGCGTCGAATATAATCTCTTTTCTCCTGAAAGTATCGATACCGTACTGGTTGAATTTGTGGAGTTTTGACTACAAATTGCCGCAGAGTAGAAACGAAATTGGTAAAGAACGACATTGTGTTTGAGGTATAACCTATTTTTTTGGAAGAAAATGAAATATTTCGATTTCAAGAGATTGAGGTTATGTCACGAACTCATTCCAATTTTTTCAGGTTTTGATTGAATGAAATTCAACTTGACAAAATATTTACCTTACATACACTTTGGGTATCTCTGAAAAATCCAATCAATTTTGGTTGATTTTTAAAACAATCCAATGATTTTTGTCCACAATAGGTTTGTTGGTACACTCCGATGCGAACGAATAACAAAAGTCAATTGAAAGAATATTTCTGTCAATGACATTTTTGTCACTCACAGCATTTTGACAACGGAGACAACGCGCATAATTCAATATGAATTTTAGATTAAAGTTTATTGAACGGAGAAGGAAATTCTCTGATTGAAGTGAGATATATATTTTATTTTATTTTTCGTGGATGAACAATTGAACATAATATGGCATTTTTTTAAATTCTAAATGTGCTAAAAAATTAAATCTAATCTAATACCATTGAGCAAAGTTTAACAATTATAAAATCTTTTTTAAGCGTTATATTTCTGAATTCTTTTTTTGTGTCTCGGGAAAATGGTTCCACAATTAAAATCATGCATTGTTTGAAACATTCGAAAAGCACAAGGCACAAAATTCGTTGTTTTCATTTAAAATCTCAAAAATGTATGTATAAAAAAAATTGCGTTGAATAAGTACATGAAATACTGTGGTCTGGTTATAAAAATTCGATGAAATGCCATATTGTAAGATTAATTCAGTCAAATCGATTTCATTTAAATGCGTCTTTTTTGCTAAAGCTTAAATTTTTTCTTAAATTAAGTGGTAATAAATGCGACTTTTTAAGTATCGTTGAGCAATCAATATATGCATATTAAAACTAATAAATTTTTTTATCTTGGATGTGAGTGTTTGTACGATTCAGATCCTGCTAAATTCAAATGTTGTTCAGATCATAGATATTCAATTTTGTCGTTCATCGCTTAGAGTAGAAGACATTGAATTCGTAGTGCTCATGCGAACCGATGATAATTGATGGCTTTCATTCGAGAAATACGTTAGTGATTCAGTTTGATTTTTGCTCATCTCGCCCACTGCTGTTGATGTTAGAGTTCGATACATTTTTTTTGAGCTTGAATCCTTCCCATCGCCACTACTGTGATCAACTGGGGTCGATGTACGATGTTTATCCTTACCACGATTCTGTGGAGTATCTGGTGATTTCACATCCGATTGAAGTAAAAATGATTTTAAGAAAATACTGGCCAACGATGAATCAGATGATGACGACGACATTGAACTGTGTTTCATCAACTGACGTGCAAGAAAGTCCTTAAGATTAATGGATTTTGCCAATTGATCCGATTCACTTTTCTGTGTGGTAATCGTGCCTTCTACCGTTCCTGAGTTGGTCGCCACCAAATTCTTGTCAACAAAACTGTCATTGGTTGCTTTGCTATGATTCATCTTTTGAACTGCTTTCAATTTACTTGGCGATTGTTGTTTATTCGAGGAACGATGGAGTCTTTCGCCATGATTCGATGAATCGGATGATTGCGATGTAGATACTTTTTTCGATTTTTTCAATTCGGTCGAAACCCATGCCAATCCCATGCTATTCAATTCATGTTCAAGTTCTTCTGACAAAGTGTCTGATACGGTTGACTCTGTCGTCAGTAGTGATATAGCCCTTGGATTTCCCACAACAAGCAAATCATCTAAATTTCCATAATTGCCTTTAGCCTCTTCAAATGAACGATCCAATATTTTACGACTTTTCAATTCGTTCACAATGTCCGGGAGGCTAGAGTTTGAGTTATCATCGGAAAGATCCACTTTGTCCAAGCTTTGACTATCAAGTAAACCGGGAACCGATTTGGCATACTCCGAATGTGTTGGAAATTTTGAATAACTCATACGCAACTCGGAATCTTCCAATTGTCTACTATTGTTGACGTCCGGACGATCACCATCATATGTTTTGTATTTCAGTTCGTTCACCTGAGAACCAAATGGTTCTAACAATTTTTCCACGTGTTCGTTTGCAATTGCACTCGTGCCAGCCATGGTTAGATCAGTATCGTTTGCACTTGCCATTGAAACTTGCGAAGTATTTGGATTTAATTTAATGTAATCCTTGAGCTGTGGAAATGCTTTGTAAATAAGTTTGGATGCTTCGTCGGCCTGTGTCAATTTTATGGAATTATTTTTAGTTTCATTTAAATTGGTCGCATCGGTTGCGTTCAATCGTGAAGTTTGTGGAGTATCAATTTCAGTTATTGTACTTAGTTCGTGTGGCAATTCGTCTTCCATGTGTGGACTGTATCTGTGGAAGTCAAGAGAATTTTTAAAATATAGAATTAATTTTTTAGAAAGAACAACAAATGATTGATATAAAAAAAATCACTCGTTCAAAAAGTTAAAAACGTACCTAGCCATTGCGACTGGAGGTGGTGAGGGTTTGACCATTTTTTCTCGGCTATGTGTCGGAATTTGTTCGGCTTGGTGTTTTTGTTGTGGTTGTTCGTATACAATTTGTCCACCACTTGAAATTCGATAATTAGCCCTGGGAATGTCTTTCAAAAGTGGTTCAAATGAAGCATCTCGTTTACTTTCATGCAATGCATTTTGCAGTAATTTGCTTTGACGCTCTGAATCCACAGTCTTTGTGTTTTGTTTTAAATCGGGACTATCACGATAATCTGAAGATGTTACTGGTCTGGAAATGCCAACACCGCTGTCTTTACTTTCGCCAAGTAGTTTATTCTTTGCCGCAAATAGACCGGCACGATTTTCATTTGGCATCGATATATCAGCAGTGCCGCTTGTTGATGAAAAATCGGATGATGGTGCATTTGTGCCCTTGCTGTCTGACAACGGTGAACTTATATTGTTGTTGCTTTGTTCTGTTTGTTGTTTTTGTTCTTGTTGCGGATACTCCATATATTCCGTTGCTTCTTTTTGTCCCGTTATCAAACTGCTGGCCGAAGAAAGTGTATTTTCCAGCAATTTTTGTTTTTCCTCTCGCACCTTCGAAATCATTGTGTCCAAATTGATAATGCGCTTGGTACAATTCGCTGCTAACTCATCGTATTTGGCAATCAAGTCATCTCTCGATAACTTATCATCCGAATCTTCAACCATTGCGTTGTTTTCACGCCGTTCAGATGGTTTTGATTTGGAATTTTCCGTTTTTTCCGATTTGGAATTCGGTTCGTTCTTCTTTGATAAAATTTCATCCCAAACACCGCTAGATGCACCACTTTCTTTGCTGTCTTTGCGTGGTTTTGTTGCCAATTTATTATTCTCTGCCAAATATTTGGCGAGTTGTTGAAGCTTTGCTTTGTCAATTGATTGAATTTGCTCCATGGATACTGACGATGAATGCGAAATTGGCGTTGACGTCAAACTGGACGAAGTGAGCTGTCGATTATTGCTTACATTTATAATCGATGAATTTGGAGTTTTCACTGTGCTAACCGAACTCATATTTAACTGATCGATCGAAGTTCGTGACATTCCAAGCATTCGAATAATATAGTGTAAGAGCTCAGAGTCGTTAACTGGTGAATTTTCCGACGGCATTGCAGCATTCACATTTGAAGATATGGCACTTTGTTCCATTTTTGCCGTTAGACGGGTTTTCATTTGATCGGGTGGGCTCAAGTAAGAGGTATACGATGTTGACGATGATGAAATGTCCAATTGTTTTCTTTCTATCAAGGTTACCTAAGGGGAGAATCACAAAAGAAAAGAATAAAATTTAAAATAATCGATAAGTAATCGGAGAATAATCGAAAAATAATCGGAAACATATAATGAAAAAATTGCAAAGCAATAGCCACAACAACAATAATGTCCAGCAATTGCTTTAAATTGAGATTTGGTAGTTGTAATCGTCGATTCTGTGGAAGAGAATAAAAAAAATACTAGCTTACTATAGAATAGTACTTCTGGGTCTGCTGGTCACTACCTAGATACATACAATAACAGAGAAACAAACAATGAACATAAATTGCAGTAGATGAAATGAAATTGATTCGAATTGAAACATACCCCCCCGGGAACGACCGCAGATACATTTCTTTAACTTTATGCTGCTTGATTACGACGATTCGCATGATTCGGTCGATTTGGACGGATCACACGATCGGGATTTTGTTGTCTATAGGCTACAGCACTCATATTGAAAACAGGATTTATTGGAATTCCACTCAACATACACTTGGCTTTATAGATCATATTGCGTGAAGCGTTATGGTCACGATCCATAACCACGCTTCGAATTCGATTCGGATTGTCGGCTGGCGTTTCAAATGTTCGTGTTTTTGGTCTTGCGCCAACTACTGGAATCTTCTTTCTATAACTACGATGTGTTTTCACAGTGTACTCGCGTGGAACTGGGAGAACAGCATTCCGGCCCGATTCACAGTTTTGGCAAACTAGGAAGCTTTTTATTTGTACATTGGAAACAAACGACAAAAGAAAATTTACAATGAATTTCATGTTTTCGGTTTTGTTTTTGTTTTTGTGGTCGTTTTTGACTCAGTACTATGTATTAAATCATTAACTTACCGATCCTTAATGTTATGTCTCGTAAATCCTTTTCGTACTCTTACATCAATTGGTCTTTGTGTCATCTGTTGACACCTACTGCAATACATAGATGTACCTCTCTCATTGATATCAATTCTCATTGCATACCTGTGGGCATACACATTGAATGTGTGAATGGAAATAATGCAGAAATTAGTAAACAAATACCGGGAAAACACAAATACAAAAACATATACATTCATACCGATCGATTGTGTGCGTAATCGCTGCTTCGGGTGTACGCAAATGGCCTTTAATTGGTGAATTGGCCGCAATTTTCGCATTTCCATGAGCGTATACGATGGTTTGTTGCTCACGCGGTATTTCCTTTTCCATTTGTGTGACTTCACGTGCAATTTGATGGGCCGTTTTTTGTGTTTGCACGTATTTATCAAATTTTAGTTTTGCCACACATGGCCGGTACTTCACTTCGCTTGCCGCTTGGAAAATATCCAGTTGGTATCTTAGATACAAATCGTAATTCAGACTACTCGGCGATGGTGTTTCGATATAAATATTACGATTTTCACGTAAGAGACGACATTCGTTTTCGTATGCACCAGTGTATTCCTTTAATTTTTTCTTTCTTTTGTCAGTTCCAACACGGTGGTGCCATTGTTTGGCCTTCAATCGATAACTTACTTCGGTTTTTCGGTCCAAGTCGAGAGTATTAGCCGCTATTAAAACTTTTGCGCCGGGATCGTTGCCAATTATCTTTTTGATTTGGCCAGCATCGAATGCAGCCTGAATGTCGTCCGGAACAATGGCCGACTCATTCGCATGATTTATGCT